TCTAGGAAATTCTTAGTTAGAAATTTTAGTTAGAAATTTTTAGTTAGAATTTATTAGTTATAGGCATTAAGAATTGATAAAGGAGCACTGTGTTGTATAATTTTTGCAATTTTATTTGTAATCATGTCACTGAAGATTGTTGTTCACACATCCATGAAACTTTTAGTTTGACGAAAACATCGTTTATTACTTTGTCACGCTTATAAACCTCCTATTCAATTAGTTGAGCACTTTGCTAAAAGGAGAGAGAAACACCGTTGTATACATATATATATATATTCTTGTTACGGATGAAGACAAAAGTATCTAGGCAATAGACAAGTACAACAAGTTCTAACTCCTAAAATACAAAAATACAGAATTATAGCAAAAATCCTGTTATCCTGACTAAGTCTAAAATTATGTTTTGAGGCACTGCAGACCGAGCTAGGTCATGAATTAAAAAGATAAAGTTTAATAAAAGTTAAGGTCGCCGGATAAGAGGTAACGCTGTAACGTGTAGCAAGTACTTCTTGATTTAAAGCCTGGGATAATTTCGTGGTTAAGTGAACCAACGTTAGCCGTACCTGAAATGCAGCATAATCCAGAATTCCTGAGCCGAAATAAGAATTCAGCATGACAGACTAGTCCTTGACAAGATTGACAATTTAACTTCTAGATTGGAATTCCAGTTATACTATTCAGTACTCTATCTTACGAGATCACGAGATTAAACCTGGGCTATTGAATTAGCTGATAATTTCAAGGAAGCTCCGTATCATTAAAGTTCTTCAGAAATGAGAATGTAACACGAGTATTTGAAAGACCCAACTGTCCGTCATTATATCCAAAAGATCAGACAAGGTTTGTGAAATGAGAGCTGCTCTACCAGTAAATCTGTGATTATATGAAGGTATAACTATCTGCAATAATGCACTTCAGCTTTAATTTCAGGTCTAGTGCTTCCACTAATTCAAATCAAAGCTGACTTGACGTACGAGTGACATTGTCAACGCACTGTTATTACCGGCAATAACCCCGGCAATAACCCTCTTACCGTGAAGGGTCCCAGCCTGGTTCACAATCTCAGTTGGTTCATACGGATGCAATACAACCGCTATTAAATTGAAACCGTGGAACATAACTATAAGCTTAAGGAACCACAAAAAACCAGAAAAATTCCCATTTCAAATGGTATAAATGGGCAATGGTAAAATTTCTTATAACCATTTTCCAGTCGATTTAATCAAAAAGGGCTTCGTGTCTAACTGTTTAAAAATTGTTATGAGATGATGTGGTTATCTATACCAAATATAAAACATATCTAAGAAGCAAGCCAACTGTAGAGTTAAGAGATCTAAGTAGAACCCGTACTCCAAAGGTCAAGGACAGCACCCGACTGAGCAACCAACGACTACACTATGAATTTAACCACCTCCTCAACAGTTAACCAAAGATGGAATCACGCGTACCAACAGCTATTAAGGTTTAAGGGTGGTCTGCAGTTTGCACCAATGGCATCTCTGTGAAGTTTTTATCTAATCTCGATCACTATCAGCCAATAAGAAAACTATGAAAATATTAAATAACTCGATCAAATAGCTATCATTGCCGAGTGCAACATAAACTAATACGAAGTTACTTATATATAGCTATCTGCTTATCTGGTCTCCCCAATCCCCCTCTCTCCCTGATACCCACCTCGATCAGCACATCACGTCGTACAGTCAACGATGTTCATTATTTAATAAAGTATACAAATTTGAAGCATCCTTAACTTGAGAAATTAATAATAATTTAATGATAACGAAGGACGAAGCAGCTGGTAGGATGCTGCACAGATGTAATCAGAATGGGTCGCTGTATGGGCACTGAGGAGTAGTGATATTGACCAGACGAGTGGTTTCTACAACGTTACGTAACATTGGCTCATCTGCCATGAAGTGCAGGGTCGCCACATGTTCTCAAGGTCACGGTTATTTACGAAATTTCAGACGCAACCTCATAACTTTAACTTAAAGATTCTATAACCTTCAAGAGTTGCTATGGTTATTAGAAGTATAATATAGGAGCACAAAGTCAAGAAACCCTGGTTTCCAATATTATAATGGTTACAATGATATATGGTACAAAGATACTTCTAGTTCTAGGAAGACACAGAAAACTTGATAACTCATCATGGTTGCTATCTAAATAAACGGGCAGAAAGGTCAAATTTAATCACAATTAAGGATTCAATCACTGCAGGACGCCAGTTCAATCAAATACGATTCATAAAGATCTGCACTTTCTCAGAACCACAAATTCATAAGCCGATCTTCATATTCAACATAATGATAAATATCAAAATCTATCAAAAAGTAATATGCACTTGATTGATTTCATCGTATGACTAGTTTCTGTATGCTGTAGAATTTACTAGGCTCCAAAATTCGGCCCCCTGATAGTGATTTGAAGCTGTTAAAAAATGTGTGCCTACGACGCTGCTAAAATAAAACGCCTATTTTAGTCGCGGAGCTATAATATAATATTGTAAAATTCCCACATTATCTCATGGATTCCCCGCCATTTGGCTGCATAGTCAATGACAATATGCAAATGGTATAAAATATTTGAGTAGAATTGAAATATAGGTGAAAGGAAGGATTTATATGTTTTTGTGATTAGCCTATTTATATATATTGGAGTATTTGATAAAAGTTTGCGTATAACTATAGCGGTAAGCAGATCGGTTGCTTTGGCAACAGGGATTTAGATTGTTCAACTTGATATAAACGAAAAAATTCCTAACTTGAAACTTCTTACGATAAACATGGGTGATCATGATCAATATCAAAGCATGAAGTAACAATGATAGGACTTGACTGACATGGACAACATCTGTGAATGTGGGTTTATTTACTACTACTACTAGTAGACAATGGTGTTTTTTTCTTTTTCTATATTTCATCTAATTTCTATATATTTAAATAGAAATTAGATGAAATATAGAAAAAGATTTACATATAAATCTAACGAAGCTCATTTCAAAACATCTTTCCGAGATGAAAACAAGGCTAAATAACCTACAATCCAAGTTCCCAAACTGAAAGTACAAACGCGAACATTACCACAGTCAGTGACTAAGTTAGCATTACTGATTACCTCCACTGTTGAAAGGTAGTCAGTTCATAGTGTTCGGACAAATGTCGAGTTACCGGCTGCAGGATTGTAAATATCAAACTAAACAATTAACGACCCTACAAAATCTATCACCTATGTTTATATAGCAACAGTTCACATAGCCATGTGTATACGCGTACTGCGTGACGCCTTCGGCGGTCGCGCGCTACTGCAAGCGAGAGGGCTCTGGTTAGAGCAATAGCAACAGTTCCACTTAATTAATAGATAGCGGGGTTCAATGAAGCTTATACAATGTACATGTTATAGTGACGCACAATATGAATATATGAACGATTTTACTTTTAATGTTTTAACTTTTAATTAAGTTAATTAATAAAACATTAAGAGCAAAATCCTTCATTAAAAGTAAAATCCGTCAGGTCAAATTGAGATGAGCAATTTGTATGAGAGGTCAGGGATATTTAAATTGGTAGGACTTTTTAACATAAATTGTAACTGGGGGAGGTTGCCCATATTAATATTAATATTATGAATATGATCGTGCACTTGAATTATTCATAATATCTATTCAATAAAACCCCATTACTGAGTCACGCGTTACTTGATTCAATGTCCTAATGGTACTATGCTCCATATAAATCAAAATGATAACCAGGTTTGTGTGAATAATTGGTTTCAAATTTCTGTTCAGAAATTTTCGTATTTGAAAATGGGACAGGATTTGGAAAATATGAATTTTTGTTTTGTAAAGCTCTCTGTAGTTAGCTTCCTCCGACCGGAATCGAACTTCCAGCACCTCAATTGTGTCATATGCCATCTATTGTTGACTGACTAATTGGTTTCTGGACAATAATTCGGTAAAAACTGTGAATTTTCGGTGCTGGAAGTTTCGTCTTCAAAAACTGAAAATGGGAAAATAAATGGGAGAATATGTTTTTTCCATTTTTTCGGGAATTTTGACTTCCAGTACCCCAATTTGGTCTCATACCATCCCTAATTAGCTAACTAACGTTGGCGCAGTTTATATCTCCGCCAAAGGCAAAAGCATATAAGTTTTGACCGAATTATTGTCCAGAAATTTTTTCAGGGATTTTGAGTTCCAGTACCCCAATTTGGTCTCATACCATCCTTAATTAGCTAACTAATTGGTCGTTGGGCAAAAAGTCCATCAAATCGGTCAAATTTCCGTTTAGAAAGTTTCATATTTGAAAATGGGACAGGATTTGGAAAATATGAATTTTTGTTTTGTAAGTTTCTGTAGTAAGCTTCCTCCGACCGGAATCAAACTTCCAGCACCTCAATTGTGCCATATATGCCATATATAGTTGACTGAGTAATTGGTTATTGGTGAGTAATTGTTGAATTTTCAGTCCTGGAAGTTTCGTCTTCAAAAACTGAAAATGGGACAATATGATTTTTTCTATTTTTTCTATTTTTTCGGGGATTTTGACTTCCAGAGTTCCAGTACGTCAATTTGGTCTCATACCATCCTCAATTAGCTATCAAATTTCCGTTCAGAAATTTTAAAAATATGAATTTTCATGATTTTCCTTTTATCAGCAAGTAGTAGAAGTATCGGGGTGGTTCACATATTACGTAATCACTAAGGGGGAGAGAGGGGGTTTCTAAATAATTACGCTTGCTTAATTTTTAACACAATTACTATTGGTAAAACTGATTAGTATTACGGAGGGGGAGCGAAAATTGACCGAAAATTGACCAAAAATTGATTAAGTAATTGCTTATAAACGACTCCATAGTTGATAAATAGTGACGTAGTACAGTAGTAAGTGGTACTTTCATTCAAACATTATAGTTCTGTAAGGTTGCACACGGCTCTTGATACGTTTTTATTTTCAGGCTTGAATAGTTGAAAGATCGACAAATGCAATACAGGCTTGTTATTTCCGTTCAATTAAAATGTAACATTTTGAGAATAAAAGTATATCATATGTACACATCATTATTAGTATTCATCTGGCATTAGGTCGCAAATTGGCCCAAATGATAACAATAATTCTACTGATCAAACAATAATTTCAAAACTATCGTTTAAACAACATTATAATTATAATGAACTTAGTTTTAGGTACTCTCAAAGTATTAATACACTGGTATCATATATTTAGTTTTTTAATATATTCGGTATTAATTTAGAATTTACCCTACCAGATAAAATGATTAGCAACAACATGAATCATCAAAAAATGTGCTCATCATCGAATCTGAATTTAAAAACTCAAAGAGAGAAGCTGAATCTGGATTTTACATTGTATATAATCTGACAACCGCAACAACATACCCGCACTCTCCCTTTCAATAAAAGTCTTTTCCAAAAATCAAAATTCTTTTAATAACATACAAAATTAGGATTTAGTCCACTGTCTTGACCCAGGATTTCGTTTTGTATGTACTTTCAACCTGAGTTGCTACCTGTAAAAATCTCTTATTCGATGTGGTTTGCAGCTTGATATCATCTTTTGGTTTGATGTAGTTCTTTGAGCTGGCTTCATTTCTTAAAATCCCGATATCGATCCATACGCTCAAGATACATCTTGGTCGGCTCTGAAACAGAAACTTTAGTGAAACAGAAACTTTAGTGAAACAGAAACTTTAGTGAAACAGAAACTTTAGTGGGTTAGGAAGTGAGAGGTAATCCTAGAATAATGCCAGTGTGTACTGACAAACTGGTTATGGGTCATACTCGTAGTATGGGGCAGAGAAACGTTATTATATTGTATATTGCCAAAGAAAATGCAGTCTCTTAGTTATTTACAACGATCACACTTTCACACATGATACTGTCACACAATTTGAAATATGCTTATTATCCTTAAGTCGATGCAGGGTAAGATAAGGTGTATTATCATAACAGATAATAATATGAACAATAATTATAAGCGGAACAGAGCAATGAGCATTGGGCGGAGTCCAACACTAATAACTTTTTATCTGCACCCTTCCAGGATAACAACCCTAACTTAATAATCTCCAACTTAATTGGTAACATTTCCAACCCATGCGGTCCCAACCAAGACATAGGACAGAGTACTAAAAACATATTTTATGGAGGGCGCGAAGATAAAACACTAGTGATCAGGGTATCATAGGAGTAGGAATATCAATGTTCCCTCATTTTCGACTTAGCATTTCTAAAACAAGCCGAGTTCGTTTATCAGTTTGTCATCATTCATCTTGCTACATGGTATTTTGCCTTAAACATTAGCTAGCAGGATCAGTAGCGTGACAAATTCTCCATTAGTGAAGAAAGTGAAAAAACAGTTAAGAATTAAATGATCCTCAAAAAGCATACAAATTTATGGAAAATAAAAACTTACTGTCATCGATAGGTGATCTGCACATAGGGCAGGTTTTCTTTCGTTTTAACCAGTTGTCCACACACCCAAAGTGATAAATATGACAGCACGGTAATAACCTATAATAATTAGTTATTAATAACCTATGATAATTACTTATGATAATTAGGTTATTAATTAATAATTTATTATTTTAGGTTATTAATCATATTATTATCACGAGTTAAATAACCAAACCTGCTGACAAAGGCTCTAACATGCAACTAGCTTGTGAAATATTGGATCAATATTACTAAGTGTTCAGTAATCTACAACAGGAGAGCGAAAATGCACTGACAAAACATAATTACAACCCTTACATACCTTAACAGAATTATCTTTTTAAACAAATTTACAGAAGTAAATTTAAACCCATGATATTCCACTAAAGTGGCACTGACCTGATTCCCTCGCTCTCTTCAAAGTCGGTGATACAAATAATACAACTATCGTTCTCATGATTATCGGACTTGTGGTACTGCTGAAGACTCGTTTTGTTGCTGATCATCTCTTTTGTAGCGCCTTGGTTCTTGGGCAGGAGCTCGTCCAGCATCAACAGTTGCTGAAGGTGACGTATACCAATCATTGCAGAATATAATAACCAAGCGTTCTAAACAATACGAACCAGGTGCAAAAATAAGGATCTGATATAAGGAAACGACTTCTGTAAGCTGGAGAGTACGGGATATTGATGTATTAGTTGGATAAATCATGCCGCTAACGTCAGCAGCCGAACTATCACTTCCCGCGGATAAATGCCAATGAAACACAAGAATAGGAATAGAGCTAAGAGTATACTCTGAGGTATAGCGACCTCCAGTTTAATTAGCAGATTTGTACCGCCTCCCCCTAATGTCAGCTAGCATGCCGACTCGTTATTAAAGGTGTCAAGGTGTCAAGGTGTCAAGATGTCACTACCCAGTACCTACCGTTGCAGTGCCGAGAAGTCCCAGTGGATCTGGAAACTGCATGATGGATGAAACCCTTGAGAAATAGTAACTTAAGAAGCTGGAACAAAATCAGAAATATAAGGATTGGAGGTCGAAGCCGTAACATACAAATTACAAAGTGGTACCATGTTCGAAGTCGGATAATGTGTGTAAAGCAGCTAACTTGTACATTTGTAGTCTGCGATAATTAAAATCCTGTTTACTAACTGTTTCAAATGTGTGACACTGTCATAATGTGTGACACTGTTTCAAATGTGTGACACTGTCATAATGTGTGACACTGTCTCAAATGTGTGACACAATCATAATGTGTGACACTGTTTCATAATGTGTGACACTGTTTCATAATGTGTGACACTGTCTCAAATGTGTGACACAATCATAATGTGTGACACAATCATAATGTGTGGTAATGTGTTTTGTACATTGTATATCGGTCAGCGTGTTGTTGTCAAGACCCTGTATGTAACAAGGAGGAGGTATGTACTGGTAATAGTAAAGTGTATTAGTAAAGTGTTATAAGTGACATTAGTAGAACAGCGGATTCACACCGCTATGTATTTTGATAGGGAACGTTTTAAACTTACTGTAATTAGACTTGTATAATTGATCCAGAGTAAACGAGAGACTGGTTCGTGATTATAAGTGACAGCTTTAGAACTGATGGTCGATGTTTTGTAGGAGTCAGGCGTGATTTTATTTCTCTATTACGACATTCAATATCCAATTGTGAGTCTTTGCATATTTCCACGTTTATTAGTATATTTCTACTATTAGTATTATGCTGAAGCCAACGAACAACAAAGCTTAAAATCTCGCCTTATTCTCTGTACAAGACAGCACTTCCTGGTTATGCAACACCGTTTAGTTAACACTGATACTTTAATAGTCCTACGCTATAAACCAAATATAATCCAAAACAAAGTTTATATTCTGGGTATAACACTATAACGGATATACTATTAGTATTTCCTGGAGATACCCGCTTTATCCTACAGTTCCATGGGCAAATTTTCACTCAAATATAATTTTCCCGACTTTTTACCTCTCTCTTTTCGATTCACTCAAATATTTGAGCTAATAAAAATTTGTGAACGTGCTCACGTATTAACAGGGGTCCGGACTCTACGGCGTGAGACTCTACGGCGGGTTAGGGGAAGGGTTAGTGTAAGGGTTAGGGTTAGAATCTTACGCCGTAGAGTCTTACGCCGTCGAGTCCCGGACCCGCGTATCGATTACTGTGTGCAAATTATTTGCCTATGGAACAGGTCACCCGTATAATTTTATTTCGCAAATAAAATTTGGGTAAATTTTTTCACTGAATTATTTGCCCATGGAACTAGAGGGTAAGATGGAGGTGAAATGTTGATCTCCGACATGTTTGAAATTATTGTTTATTTGATATTGTTTATTTGATTATATTATATTCTGGGCATGTTGATAACCCAACACTTTCAAGTTACAGCCAGGGTGACAAATATGTCAAATATGTCGAGACATTTCTGACACATATTTCGAAAATATCTGAGTCGCAAAATTTCATGATTAAATGTAGAATATCAGTAATATCCATATCGATATATTCTGATGCAGACAAATCTACCAGTAATAATGTAATATGCACAGAGTAATTCACTCAAAATAAAACAGTGCGTTAATTCTGCCCTTTTTAAGGATATCAAAAAGGCCTGAAATAGCTATTTGAAACGACTACGAGGCCCAATGCTCTGAAAGATAGGAAACAAAAGATGCAATGCTATTATTCCTCCAACAATGTGACAATAGCAGAAAAGGGAGTCCCTACAAGATCACCTCTGACATGCTGTCGGCATTTTGTAAACACTTCCCCACGTAATTTAAAACATTCCAGAAATATCACAAAATATATTTCCAGGGAGCAAAAATTATATAAAATCAGGGTCTCACCTCGTAGGTCATGTTGTCTGGATCTAGAGTTGCGAAGGCGAGTATCGTTCTTAGGCGTGGGTCATCTGTGGATGGGGCTTCATTAATGGTTAGATACCAATCTCAATACAATTTATAAAACTGACTGCTTCTATCTTTTCAAGAAGCATATCCTTACCTTCTATCCGTTCGTTCATTTGTGACAGAATGTGAAGATTATCGAGTAAACTTGAGATTCTCAGGAGGACTTCTTGGAGATACTGGGCCTGGAATAACAATTTCTTTTAAGGAAGGTGTAAAATATGCGAAACGAGCAACTTGACGCTTGAGATCATGTGCTTTTACACTCAAATACCGAAAAGTAGAAAACTTGACAAGGTCCCTCTAATTGCTAATTAACGGTTTGGTTTCAGCACTGAAAGGTGTGTTAATTTACATTCAATACGGCGATATTGTACACGACACTTTCTATGTCAGCTCAGAATAGTTTAAACACAATTATACTGGTTCACACACGCTTTATTCTATTCACCTAACAGGTAACAATGTCTAGATAATTAACACATGCCATGTAACTTTACAAAATTGATCCAGACATAACGCCCAATAATATAAGGAGAAAGGCAGATACATTGATTGGCGAATTTATGTGACTTAAGTTATGTGACTTAAGTTATGTGACTTAAGTTATGTGACTTAAGTTATGTGACTTAAGTTATGTGACTTAAGTTATCATAGGCCTATCGACATTTACAGCAGTTTTGATGGTTTTGGCCTGCCGGTTTGATCATTTTCCGGTCAATGTATGGGAGGATGGGTATATATTGATAAACAAAGGGAGTGGACGCATCCAAACAGGACCTCAAGTCACTGATTACAAGAAAGATGATCCAGAGAGCTTGGGTATGACCTAACAGTAACTGAGTCAGGCGTTACACGCGAACATCACACTCCACTTTATTAGATCACGAACGGAAATTAGGACAGCGTTGTCTCATAGGATTATCGACAAAGAGATAAGGCTGTGGCGCTCTTTATCCTTACGTCGCTGTTCCCATTGAACTGCCACAGAACGGACGGAGAGTGTCCGGTAAATCTTTCGTGTAAAGACACGACAGATCACTTCGCTGTGTACATTTCTGCCGTGTAGGTCGTACGATGTTTAAAGTATCATGTGAACAACATTGCGCGGCGTTCTACGCGCGCGTTCTCTCAGCATTGACAGCAATATTTTACTCAGCGTCACTTACGTTGGGCGGTCGCGCGCGCCGTCATCTCCATCTAAATATAGCTCTTATCAAACTTTTTCTTCGACTGACCTGTACAAGCGACATCCTTAACGAAGTCTCTGGCCTAATATCTTCCATGAGGATGGCCCCCTGGCCCGGTACTTCGAACATCCGTAGCCGTGTGGGGCCACTGGTCGAGGAACTCTCCTGAGAGGAAAGTTTACATAAGAATTGTGTGATATATTCTATTTAGAATATTCTGGCCCAGCGGAAAAGGAGCACTCTCTCAGACTCCTTGATGATCTATTACAGAAAAACGGTTACCAGAACCCAAGACGTTATTGTAACAGTAGTAATTCTAACAGGCGTCAGAGTGTTGAGGATGATTCCAGGACAGTTCTTAATTTAGATTTTATTTCGGACAGTACTAGCAATAAGATTAGAAATTATGTAAAGCAGAACAATTTACCTATTAAAGTAAACTTTAAACCTACTTCGAAATTGAGAAATATTTTATGTAGTAACAGACCGTATGATAAACGTGTGTGCAGTATTAATTCATGTAAAATTTGCCCTTTGATAGTTTGTAATAAAGATTGTGAAGTGAAGAATGTTGTATATAAGATTAAGTGTAAATTATGTGACCAGCTGTACATTGGAGAAACCAGTAGGAAAGTACATGCTCGTGTAGGAGAACACTTACGTTACGCTACCTACCCTGCTACCCCTTCTAATGTTAGTCAAGCCTTTGCCATACATTATTCGAGCTGTCACGAGGGGTTAAATCCCAGTTTAGAAGTAGATATTTTAAGAATTGAGCCCAATACTGTCAGAAGAAAGATTTTCGAAGCGATGTTTATTATTAATCTGAACCCTACAATTAACAAGAGAGAAGAACTGGATACTATTAAACGTTTTATCATAGCTAGTACTGAAGAATTTTAGATATTTTAGTTTCATTCCCTTTTTATTGCATACAGTTTCAGTTTTCTAGTAGTAGTAAGTTTTAATGTTTTGTCACATCTCGCTCACAATCAGTAACCACTCACTATAATTTCATTCACATTGTGTATACACCATCTCACATGTATTGTATCTTTTACCTTATCATCTGTTATCACTGTACATGTCATTCCATCACACGATCACAATCACGTACTTGCTGTTTAGTGGATGTTTTAAGTTTATTGAATAGCAGATCGAGTAGTGGTGTATATATATAGATTTTGATTCTAATTTTAGTCGAGTATTTGAACAATTTGTTGTCGTTTAGCCATTTTTGATTAATAAATTTTATGAGACAGTTTTCTCACATATTTACCAATTTTGTCAGCATGAATAAGAAGTTGTTACTTTGAAACGTCGTTTATCCTAACAGTGCAGTATCATTTGTCGCAGATCAGAATAACCAAAAACTATTTGGAACTCCCAAAAACTGTCTATTCTATTTAGAGATGAGAATTAAATACAGTCAGACACAAATAATAGAAAACAGGATATTACAATTATCAGAATAAAAGATAGCAGATACAATTATTTAAATGACACGAGCTGCCTTTTCCCATGTAATCAGGCTGGCAATAACACGACGTGAAATGTCAGTTTAAGCAACCCTGTCAGTTTAAATAACTTACTCCGCCAACCCCGGAGTTTTCTCCGCTACTTTCTCCACTACTTTCAGCAGTCTCTCTTCTCCGTAACAAGCCCGTGATAATCCTCTCCCTGGCTGTTACGTCTGTGGATTGCTCTGTCCGACTGAGTCGTAACAAACGCAGTCGCTGGAGTCGCTCATTTGCTGAAAAGGAATTTAACAATACAGCATGAGACCAGAGGAACAATGATACTGTAATGACAATGCAAATAGTCATTTGAATGGTGGCAGATTCATTAAAGTGAAATTTATTGACTCTTATTGCCTCTTAATGAGAAATGTAATATTTAATCGCAAGGGGAATGGTGGAGGTTTTTTTTTCCTGGCGAAAGGATACATCCTCGCTTTTAAACGTGAATGCTGATATTAGATATTGCCAAGAAGTATTTAGCTAGAAACAGAAACTGCTTACTTTGGCATACCGGTGAAGATTGGATTAGATTTAGCCGATCTAATGCCAAGAAATAAACGCTCTTTATTTGACAAGGCTGTATCAGTTGACAAGGAAAAATATTAGGTTAATAACCCTGGATAGGATCTCCGTTATTAGCGTGGAAACATTGGGTTCAGTCAGACATCCATTATCCTTGATATAAGATATTATATAGACTTGATATAAAAGCTATCGGACTGTGGTAGTTAATCATACTAAATTTGGAGAGAGTTTTACTATTGAACACCACGTCACCTGCCAAAAAAGAAATTCAAATTATCGAGAATTGGATCTTGACGCAGACCTAGCATCATGGGGGAAGCTATTTTAGGAATTTATTTCAGGTTCTTTTAATGACAAGAGTCAAGGCACCATTCAGGGACAATTTTTTTAATACGGTAATTTGTATAACTCCAAATTATTTTATTTCTTCTCTCTCTTCAATCTATATATTTGTTAGTAGACCACCAAATAAGATGTGAAATATTCGGTAAAATAATATTTGTGGATGAGAGCGGGTCTCAAGTCTGGATATTTCATTATGCTGTGTTAGATTGCATTTGTAAAGTGCATGTTAATGTACGGGCTGGTATATAGTGCTCTATGGGCTAGCTAATTTCTGTACATGTAGGGGAGAAAGCGCTAGATCTTCTTAACAATATTCAGCTGCATTTTGTGGTGCAGCAGTCGGTTTACAAATAATTTGAATACAAAATGCAACCGGAAATAGGCACAACCGGAAATAGGCACAACCGGAAAAATTGCGTTGGGAGAATTAGTAAATTATTTGAGAAAATATTCAAACAAACCAGTAACTGAAGTTGACATGATCATGTTGTTCAGGGCCTCGTGTTCAGCTCGCTCGAACAGTCTCCCACGTAACGCATCGTCGGGGGAAGAAGTAGAAGCTGTAGGGTGTTCTTCTTCAGTGCTCCGTAGCGCTGCAGCGCTAGCGCTTGCGCTCGAGCTACTGTGGCTGAATCTGATTTCTCGGAATTGGCGACTGCAGATTAACAGCGGTTAGGGGTCTTCGCTTTTTTCTCCTTATTTTGATTTGGCGAAAATCCGAATTGTAGTTAATAAAATAGCGAATGGTGTAAAAAAGGCTAGGCTACTATCAGGTTATTATTCTGTTTAATTAATTATAATATCGCTGATAACAGAGAGCTATTGTTTATCTGAAAATGTTTTACTTTTTTGAGCAAGAACACTTTTAAAAAGAAACGGAGAAGAAATATAACCGAACATACCGAGGCTGAGTAGGCGTTACTTCACCACTAGAATCAGACTCTGAAGAAAACACAATGTTTAAGTAAAGAGTGGTACGCATATATAACTAGTTCAGAAGTGCTCAAGTCCCTAGTAAAAACAATATAGACCTGTCAGAGTTGAAGGACCAAGTGCAACAGTGCAATAAAGAGAGAGAAAGAAGTTTAATAAAGGCGGACATGGGCTAATAATGGTAAGCTGATTGCAAAGTGTAGCCAGTAAACTGACGTGCTCTTCAACCAGAACAGTAGGTCAGGTTGTAAAGTGTAGCCAGTAAACTGACGTGCTCTTCAACCAGAACAGTAGGTCAGGTTGTAAAGTGTAGCCAGTAAACTGACGTGCTCTTCAACCAGAACAGTAGGTCAGGTTGTAAAGTGGAGCCAGTAAACTGACGTGCTCTTCAACCAGAACAGTAGGTCAGGTTGTAAAGTGTAGCCAGTAAACTGACGTGCTCTTCAACCAGAACAGTAGGTCAGGTTGTAAAGTGTAGCCAGTAAACTGACGTGCTCTTCAACCAGAACAGTAGGTCAGGTTGTAAAGTGTAGCCAGTAAACTGACGTGCTCTTCAACCAGAACAGTAGGTCAGGTTGTAAAGTGTAGCCAGTTAACTGACGTGCTCTTCAACCAGAACAGTAGGTCAGGTTGTAAAGTGGAGCCAGTAAACTGACGTGCTCTTCAACCAGAACAGTAGGTCAGGTTGCAAAGTGTAGCCAGTAAACTGACGTGCTCTTCAACCAGAACAGTAGGTCAGGTTGTAAAGTGTAGCCAGTAAACTGACGTGCTCTTCAACCAGACCTACTGTTCTGGTTGAAGATTGCAAGATTCTGGTTACAGGTTGCAAAGTGTAGCCAGTAAACTGACGTGCTCTTCAACCAGAACAGTAGGTCAGGTTGTAAAGTGTAGCCAGTAAACTGACGTGCTCTTCAACCAGAACAGTAGGTCAGGTTGTAAAGTGCAGCCAGTAAACTGACGTGCTCTTCAACCAGAACAGTAGGTCAGGTTGTAAAGTGGAGCCAGTAAACTGACGTGCTCTTCAACCAGAACAGTAGGTCAGGTTGTAAAGTGTAGCCAGTAAACTGACGTGCTCTTCAACCAGAACAGTAGGTCAGGTTGTAAAGTGTAGCCAGTAAACTGACGTGCTCTTCAACCAGAACAGTAGGTCAGGTTGTAAAGTGTAGCCAGTAAACTGACGTGCTCTTCAACCAGAACAGTAGGTCAGGTTGTAAAGTGTAGCCAGTTAACTGACGTGCTCTTCAACCAGAACAGTAGGTCAGGTTGTAAAGTGGAGCCAGTAAACTGACGTGCTCTTCAACCAGAACAGTAGGTCAGGTTGCAAAGTGTAGCCAGTAAACTGACGTGCTCTTCAACCAGAACAGTAGGTCAGGTTGTAAAGTGTAGCCAGTAAACTGACGTGCTCTTCAACCAGACCTACTGTTCTGGTTGAAGATTGCAAGATTCTGGTTACAGGTTGCAAAGTGTAGCCAGTAAACTGACGTGCTCTTCAACCAGAACAGTAGGTCAGGTTGTAAAGTGTAGCCAGTAAACTGACGTGCTCTTCAACCAGAACAGTAGGTCAGGTTGTAAAGTGTAGCCAGTAAACTGACGTGCTCTTCAACCAGAACAGTAGGTCAGGTTGTAACGATAGAAATATAACTATGTAGAAGTTTACTGTACCTGGAGGAGGATTGGCGATGCTGGTTGATGGTTCTGGTTCTGGTGTTGACGAACTTGTTGATTCACCTGTATGTTTTGTTGTACGGTTAAATTTTAGTCAATATTTAATGTCAGTGAAAATATCTATGACGGCCGTGATGAGTAATGTGTTTTAGCTCTAAATTCTAATGCTAGTAAGAGGGAAAATAAAGTGAACGTTTCACTAACGAAGGAGTCTGCGAGCTCGTCTGAGAACACCAGATCCGAGGGAAGACCGACCACTGGAGGGTCGGTACCGAGGAGGGGGTCTTGGCTCGAATGGTTCACTCTCTGGAATCTCGATAAGACGATGAGGGACAACACGGACGATCTCCACGGACTGTATATCAGTGTCAGGGGTGTCGTTTGTCGCTGCCTGGTGGTCAGTGTTAGGTTCTGGCTGTACGGAGGTAGGATGAGTGGCGGGAGGCGGTGTGGTTGTTGCAGTGGGAGGTGTCGTGGAGTGTGGTATTGGGGGTAGCGGGGTGCCGTGCTCTGATCTCCAGTCGACCACGGGCGAGTTTGTGAACTCGCGCCACTGCCACCCCTCCTGGGGGGATTCTTTCATATCAGGCGCTAACAGCTGTGCTTCACATGCTTACAGCTTAGTGCATTATGCTTATTTGCTTACAGCTTAGTGCACAATGCTTATTTGCTTAGTACAGCTTGCTGCTTACAGCTTAGTGCTTTTCTTGATCAAAAATATTTAAATAATTATCTGCTTCAACACTTAACAGCCAGTGTACCACTAGCAAACTGCCATCAGATACACACTGTTGACTGTTCCGTTCATGCTGAGTCCTAGTGCTTAGATCGGCTCATGTAATTATGCAAATAAGATCGTTAAGAGGCCACTGTAATTGTACATACAAATTAGGTAATTGCCTTGGTTCACCGGAGTCTATGCTTTGGATATTCATAAATTTACTGAAATACGATATTGGTATTAAATGTTCGCAAACACGGCAATTTTCAGTGTTCCAGAATGACAATGTGTGTTATATATTCCGAGTGGTGGGCTATGTAAGAGACTGTGTATGCCACTCTCTCTCACTCTCTCTCAAATGATATGCTATGAATGTATCAGTGCTCTCTGGATTGTATTATATATAACATATGTTGAATAATGCATATATAACATGCTAGAAATACATAAATAATGTTAGCAAGCAAATCAAATATGTATTAAAATTAATTGAAAATAGCGCACAATGTTGTAAAGAGCATGCGATGCTGTACCAGGTCACAGGACTGCGCAAGCTCCAGCACATTCTAATGTACAGAACACATGGTATTATATAGTAACCACACTTCGCACAGACTTGCATTTTAAAGTGCTACATAAAACGTGCTCTTCTCGAATAATCTCTAAGTATTCCTACCTCCATAGAGTCGGAGTTGTAAGCGGCGGAAGAAGGGCGACTAGCGCTGGATACCCGGCCGGAGACTGGCCGACTGGGCAGGGAAAAGGGGGACGATGTTACACTCGGCATCCCGGTGGGTGTGAGCTCCTCTGAGGCTGGGGATACAGGTTCTATGAGGTATTAGTTCTTTTAGTGTTATTCCTGATGGAGAGGGTTTAACACAAGTTAAACTAACATGGAGATGCTGTGTAGACAGCACCACCAAACGACGTATTATAACAAATGAAACAATCGAAATGGGCGCGGGCGGCAAAGAATTTGTTTCACAATAATGATAAAACAATACTGATAATCGGAGAACAACTCCTAAGTCAGATGTATAATATATAGAACAGGGTACAATACTCAAATTATGTAGTTTTAAACTCTTCGATTATATATATATATAAATTGAACGATTTCTGGCTCCAATATTTGAATGGCTGACTCACCGGAAGGGTTAGATATAGTGTTAGATAGAAGAGGAGAGGGTATAGTTGTGGACAATCTCCGTTCTATGAGCCGGGAACTTATTCTAGCTGATCTCCGGGGACCTGGTGTTTGATCAGGAGACTCTCTGACAGCACTTGTAGAACCTGTACAACAGTTAATTTTAAGTTAACATTTTGTGAGTTTACCCTGTACAACAGTTAATTTTAAGTTAACATTTTGTGAGTTTACCCTGTACAACAGTTAATTTTAAGTTAACATTTTGTGAGTTTACCCGTCGTTAAGAAATGTTTTAAAGATAGAAGCAAACCGGTACGGATAGCAAACATACGTACAAACACTGGACTAATTATACCAATTTCTGAACACAATCGATAAAATGAAACCTGCAAATTGATAAGCAGACTAACTTGAAGCAGTGGTAGTATGCCGCCTGCCCAGGCGATTGTACCGGGTAACCGAGGCAACTCTCTGTGGCTGGTTGAGGGAGCGACGTGAGTAACGAGTACTGTACACGTTAGAAACTCCTCCTGCACTGCTCCCCGGCTCTTGCTCACGGGACGTGGCCGCATTGCTCAGGGTGTTCCGTCTGCAAGGTTACGGATTTTAGTTTAATATTTCAGGAAATTATAAGTTATACAGATGTAGATTACCAGATGTATTATATAAACCAATAAAATAATATTTAAAGCTAATTTTATTAACCAGCAGGTACGGTTTATATTCCTGGTTCATTTTTAGCTTCAGGTTTAGATGACTATTCATGAATATTCCTACTGATATACTACTCCTACTGATATCCTACTGATATACCATTCTGTTTTACACATCTTAGCCATTTAAAGTAGTCTGGATGATTCACTTTATAGTTTCATAAGAAAAATCATCGTCTGCTCTTGAACTGTACTAAGATAAAAGTAGGGTGAAATTATGCCTAAAATAGTCACAGAAGTCATGAGTGTGTTCCAATAGGAGAGGTTCTCAACGTTAAATCGTTATATCTTAACCGTTTCGGCGTGTCAAGCTACAGTTGAATGAACTATTATCATGGATACTGGAGAACATAAATTGCAATATGATGTGGTAAAAGTGCAAAAAATCATCGATAAAGAATGTATTTATAGATAAAGCCAGGTAAAGACTCGCTCTCTCTTTTGATAAAAAACTATGATAAACTCGTCACAGGCATGACGCCAAGAGGCTAGTGGCAGCTCTTAGGCATAATGAATTTCACTATTGACAAAGCAAGTTCAAATCACAAAGGAAGAACCTAGGTGCCTCTGACTGGTACAAGTAAGGTTTAGCTACGGGTGAAGTTGCTGAGATGCTAAAGCAGTCAAGAATGACTGGACTAAATGTCATTTCTCAGGCCATCTAATTTGTTTTCTATACAGCATACATGTGGCATGACAGTTACAGAATTATTTATGTGTAACCAAAATAGAATGTATCGACATTTCTATCTAGGACAGGTTACTATCTATATAATTTACACTACAAACTGTAACACTGTACACAATACTTCAGAAAATACCTTGAAGATGAAAATGAAGAGCCCATCTGAGATCTCCGTCTTGCCACCGAATTTGGAACAGTTTCTGAGTCTGCAGTCCCTGATTTCATTTCGGTAAAAGTAGAAACTTTAGAAGTTACATGAAAGTACCATGAAGGACATTTTAATAAACAAAGTAAATTCAGGATATAAGAAGGTAGAATTTACTTGTTCAATATCTATGAACAAAGTAAACTGTCAGACTTACTGTTATTGGTGGAGTTTCTAAAATTAGGACTACTTTGTGTTGTCCCTCGTTTGTTAGTCATGTTGAGACCATTGCCTACAAATTATTGGATTAAATAACATGAGATGTATTATAGTTACTACTGTGTACTATACTATAGTAAACATTGCACTGATTTTAGATATAATGTGGCTGTGTTTTTGGAGTTTGAGATAAAAATTAATATTACAGTACTAGAACCCTGATTTACCAAAATATTTTCTTCCCCCAAACTGTGAGGTAAATCGTGGTTTTACTGTATTTGTCAATTAAGGAATCAAGTCACTGATCTCCAACCCAAATTCATCTGGATGTGCTCACTGACATCATTATTTGGTGTGTTTTGTGTTAAAGATATTTATGATTGATTATTAGTGGAGATTGAAACTCAGAATTCAAGTTTAAACCCATTTTAGTTTTCAAGGTTCATGGTTCAAGGATCATCCTGACTGAATGCAGTTTCAATCTTTCAGTGATTCAACCAATGAGCTAATGACATAATCCACTATCCAGGTTACCCTTTGATAATGATTGTAACGCATTATGGCACTGACAATGGAATATTGCTAAGTTATACCCTGATCAACATTATTCCTTATAAGGCTTTGTTTCGATAAGGTGAGGCTGTGGGTATGTGACTATGTTGGATTTGAGGGTTATATGGCACTTAATCTGCAATATGGGTGCTTAGTAGGTGTGGCGCACAAACTTCACAGTATACACTCTTTAAAATTAGCTTGCAGTTGAACTGTCAGAGGTTTTAAATTTAAAAATTAATAATTTTAAAATATAGAATAATCTGTTATCCATAGTCCCTACACAATACACATTAACATACTTTACTCTTTGAAAATTAATTCTGTAATGAATAAACACTAAACAGTGTACTACACATTATTATTCAACAGCAAATGCCAAGTAACCAAGAGGTCTAGGTCTGCCTAATGATTTCTTTATAATATCTGGAGCTGAGGAATGGAATGACCATTTTCTAATTCTTAGGATCACTTACATATTATAACAGAAGCTAGACGTTGGCCAATTTAGACCCACCCCCCCCCCCCCCCTCCTTCCCTGGCCCTCTGTAGTCTGTATAGTATAACACTTTGAAGAAGTAACACTGTTTTTTTTTCAAACCATGTACTTGAAGAAGCTTGTGTGAACAATTCATTATACCCTAAATGTATGTCATTCTTTTCCTTACGATTTTTTCGTAAAATGCCTAAAAACATGTATAGTGGGACACCCTTGATATGAATAAAACATATGCACTAAAAGTTCACTGTAGAGCAGATATGTCAATTCTTGCGCCTTCTGCACCTTTTAAGCCAAAGTCGTTGGGACTGACCAGTAGCAGACATACTGTTTTGACATCAAATCATTCTGCTTCTTAAGATTTGATGAGAAAGGAGATATGTGCCACTTATATTGCATTAGGGAATTCGTTCCCGACATGGCAGAAAACCAAACTATTTAAGCAAAATGGATTTCATACTTGACTAGCTAAAATAATGTACTTGATATCCATAAACTTCTTCCCAGCTTAAGTAGCTTTAATAGCAGAGTGACTCAAAAGATGTACTGTATTCCTGATTCTATGGCTTCGATTGATTTTCGAAGCTGTACTTAACTGCAATAAGGTCCAAGGGTGGTGCAAAGACATCAAGATGCTAGCTGATATTGTAGAATCTGAGCCTCAAGCAGCCTATTCAGCCTACATCTCTGGCATACAACACCGATGGAAGTTTGTTCAAAGGACTGTTCCTCATATCTCTGAAGCCATGGAGCCGCTAGAACATGAAATAAGACAAACGCTTCTGCCAAAGATGCTGGGCAGGGAGATTTCAGACTTAGAGAGGGACGTGTTAAGTCTACCAATAAGATTGGGAGGATTGGGCATTGGTAAACCCCACGAGGAATGCCAGTCTGAGTACACAGCTTCCAAGCTACTCACCACCGAGCTTACAAAGGCAATAGTGGACCAACAGGAAGTTTACACTGCATCCAGTAACCTCACCAAATCAGGGAAAGTGATGATAAAAAATTTGAAGAACTCCGAGCTCCAAGCCAAGTTTAACGCTATAGCTGAAAGATGTGGCACCTCCTCTAAGAGAGCACTACTAGCAGCAAGAGAAAAGGGAGCGTCCAGTTGGCTTAACACATTGCCACTTCAGCAGTATGGCTACACTCTGAACAAAGAGGAGTTTCGTGACAGTGTCTGCTTACGCTACAGCTGGTGGATACCAAACACTCCCATCACCTGTGGATGTGGGAAAACAAGTGATCTTGACCACCTTCTCACCTGTAAGCTAGGGGGTTATGTGATAATGACCCACAACAACATCAGAGACACATTAGCAAATCTCCTTCGTGAGGTATGTCATGATGTGAAAGTCGAACCCCAGCTACAGAAGGTAAATGAGGGTGACTGCCTCAACCCCAAGACTATAACAGGTGACCAAGCTCGGCTTGACGTATCTGCTAGAGGAGTTTGGACTCCATTTGATAAGACCTTTCTTGACATAAGGGTTTCACACCCCAATTGCTTATCAAACAGGACCAAAACTCTTCAAGAAGTATACGAAGAGAACGAAAAGGAGAAGAAGGATGAGTACTTGGAGAGAGTGTTGAACGTAGAGAAGGCCACTTTCACCCCAGCCGTATTTCTCACAACTGGAGGCATGTCCAAAGAATGTAAGCGTTTTCTAAATAGAGTGGCAGACCTCATCGCCAGGAAAAGAAAAGAGAGATATTGCGATGTGGTAAGACATGTAAGGACAAGAATAAGATTCGCTATGTTAAGAACCACACTCATAGCTCTACGAGGGTACAGAGGAAAAAAAATTGACAGCAAATATGAGACACCACTATCAGAAGTCTCTTATAACCTCATCCCTGCCCCTATGATGGAGTAGATGTGTATATATTATATCTGATTGTTGATATTTCATATTATATAATATTGGTAGCAGTGGACAGTTTCCGTTACCTCTGTATTGTGCTCTGCCAATTGCAACACTTGAATTACTTTATTGTATATATACTTAACTGCAAATGAAGTTTTTACCTGTACCAGGGGCTGGCCTTCGAATATATTCACCTTCTATGGAGCATTGTAGGTTTGTAACCTACCAGGACGCGCGCCGAGTTGGACTCGTCGACGGTCCTGGATAATATATGGAACAAATATTTTACGAGTATCACCCGTTAAATGGAGCACTGTGACCTTAACTTAAAGGAACCTGGCTTAATTCATAAATTAGCTATAGCCATGGCTTCCCAAAAGCGAAAGTCGTGGCTTTATACTGAATTTAATTAATTAATAACAGCCAGCCATTATGTTCAGTTGGGAAAAGTCCGTAGTTCGATATCCCTTGAATGCCGTCAAAATATGCCCTCTGAAGCATTCCAAATAGATCTTGCAGAAATGTCCATCCTATCTTGGTTCCCTAGGACTGTTCCCGGCCCTTCGTATTGGTAACTCCCTTCGTATTGGTAACAACATTTATCGGATAAATTGCATGTTCAATAATTGTATTTAAAAGTGTGCTGTTCGACTCAGCTTTGTCGTCTATTGCATTTTAACATATTTACTCATCTTTACGTTGACTGTAGCGCTCGATCTCATTACCACACTATCAATAATAAATTAAATGACATAACAACTATTTATCGCAAGTGGGGACCCCAGACCATAATGTTCATAAACATTAACATAAATCAAACAGAAATTTGGCGGAATGACAGGGTGAGCACCGCCCAGTAAGGTTGCGAGAAACATTATTTCATGCACGGCGCAGCCCAGTAGTAGTATTGCACTACAAACTTTTATTTAATTCTAACCCGGCCCCAACCGTAACTATAACTCCAAAACTATACTAGCTATTTATAATCCTGACCGCAACCTTAACCCTAACCTGAGCCCAACACAATAAAATTCGTGTTTAACTAGCGGTATGTCACGTGACTTGCTCTAACCAGAGCCCTCTCGCTTGCAGTAGCGCGCGACCGCCGTGAAACAAGCGCGTCACGCAGTACGCGTAGGCACATGGCTATGTGAATCACGTGACCAAAACAGTTTTTGCCGGCCATAACTTTTAAATTGCTTTAATATATCCAAAGCCCTCTCGCATGCAGTTCACATAGCCATGTGCCTACGCGTACTGCGTGACGCGCTTGTTTCACAAGTAGGATCTTTTGCCGCCTACGGCGGTCGCGCGCTACTGCAAGCGAGAGGGCTCTGGTTAGAGCAACGCATGCAGTAGCGCGTTCCACCGCCGAAGGCTAAGTGGAACTCTCCAACTAGGGAGGCATTTTAACGCTAAATGCTACGTTTTACGTATACGGATGATTTTTGTATCACGTTGTGACACCCACGGTCGTTTCACTAGGGGGAGCCGCGCACTCGTGCGCGGCGGGTCATACAACGTATGTGGTATGACAATTATATTATTGATATTTAAACATAATTCAAAATTTAGCATAATAATAATATTGACTTAGCTTGAGTTCCGCACAATTTATAAATGGCAATCAGTCAAATTATTTGTAGCGCGATGCGACTACTGGGTCGCGCGCGCATCCAATTCAATAATACTTCTCACAACCGGTAGATCGGCAAAATGCACCATTGTGCCTCACCGAGCTGCGAAGGATTGACATCGTGAATCAATCCAATTATTCACATTGCACAAGTTTTGAATAAAGCTGAATGATCGATTAGAACTGGTGAAATATTTTTTGTAGTATCTCAACTGATTCATAATACAAGGTCAAGATCAAATTAAATAGGTTCCCATACCATACGTCATGAACATTTATTTATATTACTACTATTGACATACGTTGCATGCCACTTTTCGCGGAAAAAGGCAGAAAAATAATATCTCTGATATTTGTGATACGTAACATGTATCAATACTACTACACACTGAAACTTTTCTTATTTATGTGAAAGTGTAATTTAGGTAAAGATCAACCATAATAATGTAAAGTCCTTGCGAGGCATGTTTAGGTCAAATGTTATTTGGAATATTTTAATTTGATATTTTACCATGATAAGCTTTCTGCTAGCTTTCTTTATTTTTGTAAGTCGCGTCGGCTGACATCTTGGGTTGTACTGGATGTAACAAGTTTATTATCGGATGTCTACTTATATTTATTATGATATTATTATTCATTGTAATGGCAATCAAATTTAAATTTTGTTTTACTTTTGTTTTACTTAAGGTATGGCGAATTCTGACTTTTGGAAGGTGTCGACCACCACAGTAACTACAGCTGGTGTGTTAGCAACCGAGACAAAAATCCTTTATCCGTATCTTTGTTACTCGATCTAGTAACTGCAGAAGATGCATCTGACCATTTTCAATAGTTCCTACTTTTCTGCATTGTTTATTTTTCCACAATTGGAATCATCTTTTATTTGTATCTACCCTCCATACATATATATATACATAAGTGTGTTCACTGCTCTTCACACAACAGATGAGCTTGATGTGATACATTTTCATCACTGCATCTACACTCAATTTGTCTGTATTTTTTATCACATCTTCAACTAGTTCTCTTGAGATGTGTTAAATTACACCAGAAAATTACCACTAACTGTTATTATAATTTCGTTTAAGGGGTCGTTCACATATTACGTAATCAATATTTTAGCAATTTTTACCCCCGTCCCCCCTTCCGTAATCAACCGTAATCAAGACCCAACCCCCCCTCCTGACAGCAATATTACACAATCATGGCCTGACCCCCCCCCCCCTTGACTTTTTCCTGTAAAACACTTTTCTCTACGTTTCATGCTACCCTGATCATGCTATGATGATGAGCCGAAATCATTGTTATGATATCCGGCCAAGCACCTTCTAAACTACTTACTATTATAAATCAAGAGGCTTGCATATAATGAACATATTGACATGGGTGCAGAGTTGAGTCTTTTGAGAACAAAAGCACTATTAATACAAGCACAGGCAGCTGACTTAAAAGATACTTGGACTCCAAACAATTTTAAATTGCAGTAATCAAGTCTAATTGCAGCGGCGCACACTTACTATTACTATCATGATTGTACTATAGACAGAAAATCTTTCAAATCGATTTTGGGCGCTTTTTAACCATCGGTTGTAATGTTTTTTAGATACTTAATATCTAAATTTATAAAATTTTTTATCGGAATGAATTAATTGATTGATATTTAATAATTTATTCGGTAGGTTTATCTGGTATTGATATTGATTATATTGATATTGTTATTATTGAACGAAGCTAACTCTAGACATAGTTAATACTACTTCTTTTAAGAAAGGGACTTGGAGTATAAACGACCAAGTTTGCATAAATTTCTATCCAACCAAGAACTCAGGAGGCAAAGGTGGGTGCGTAAACTTTTGGTCTGCACTCTCCGATCCTGTATCACCCTGGATTCTTCTCGACGTATCTTTGTAAAAGGTATATACCTTCTAGTCAATCTCTTGCTACTCCAAGTCCCCTAAGATATCTGATCTAAAGTTCGTGCTAGTTATATATATAGAAAATATATTTTTGTCTGCTTTAATTGATACTAAATAAAATTGTTGTTTTCTTGAAATTGTTGTTTTCTTGTCTGTACGGAACCTAGTAGTTTCAGTTCCTTGTTTAACTTGCCGTACAGCAAGGACATCCACTACTTTAGCCCGGCGAGGCACATAGCTCACTCTACAACTCCGTGTCAAATGTTTCATATATACTAGCCAAGTTCACAAGATATATCCTTGTGTTTGAGAAGCGCTCATATAGCCGGATATTCGATCAATTTCTAAATTTTATCACTATCAGAGTGAAATTGAGTGGAATTTGAATTAAAATAACACATTGTTATTATTCTAGAGGGTAAAAAAGAAAATTTTGATTACGTATAATCAACGACCGAAACCCCCCCCCCCTGTAATCAACCGTAAGCATTTGGAAACCCCCCTTCCCCCCTCGGCTAATTACGTAATATGTGAACGACCCCTAATTCATTTAATTCATAACAATAAGATATATCTTCTATCAGTTCAAGATGACTACCAGTTTACTTATCATCCGATTTCAGGGCATGAAATGACCTTGTCGTTGCAGGAAACTGTGGATACCTCATAACTGATTTGAGAAGATTGCATGGCAAAGGTAAACGTCCAGTTTAATCTTTCTGCACAGGATAAAGGTAATGACCATCCCACCTTCAATCTTGAAACTGGAGAAAAAGAAACTGAGAGGCCCCTATCTAGAATTTCAAAATTGTTCTCCGACTCTGGATCCATAAGTTCAGGTGAAGATGACGATTCTGATGATGAACTTGGCTTTACTCCTTTGAAAAGTAGCTATCTTAGTCATCAGTCTAGACCTGGGACAGCACTTGCCTCAAAAGAAAGGCCAAACTTGAATGCAACAACACAAGTGTTGAAAAAGAGATTGAAAGTTATCAGGACACTCAGGAAAGAACTGCAAGATAATGATATCATGTGGATCAGAGATACATTTATCAGGAAGGACTGTACCACATTTGTTGGGGAAAATGGTAAATGTCATTGTGGAAGAAGCAAGGAAGTGCATCAGAAACAAGATGGCAAGGATACACAGTGGAGCGCTGTCCAGCATTGTAATATGCTCCCAACTGATGCATTTGGTATTGTCAAACTGGTCAGCGGGAGTTTCAACACTGCACGGTATCTACGATTATCTGATGACTCAGAAAGTGATGACATACTCCAACTATTGAGGGATTTCTGGCATTTGAGCATGCCTGGCATCGTTTTGAGCATCATAGGATCAGGGAACACAGTTATTCCGCACAAACTCTACCAGACTATCCAACGTGACATAGCTAAAGTTGGGAAGCTAACAAGAGCCTGGGTTTTCACTAACGGTCTCTCCGGAGGATCATCCAGTGTTATCGGGCACATGCTGTCCACACATGGTTACCCTGTACCTGCCATTGCCTTTGGTAGCTGGGGTACTATTGATAACACTGATAGTTTAAGAAACCCTGAAGAAGATCCAACAACATTGGTGTATTATAATCCGGATACAAGCAATCCTGAGAACAACCTTGATCCAAATCATACTCATCTTCTGCTGATTGATGATGGCACAGTTAAAAACACTAAGTCTAATGATTCTGTCAGGAGAGATTTTGAGAAGTATCTGCTGACACAGTTCAATGTTCCATTGCTCTACAATATGATTGGAGGGACCGAGGAGGATGGAGTGAACTTGCACAGCATTCTTCTTGGTGGTTCCATAGTTGTTATGGTGAAAGGTAGTGGAGGATTTGCAGATGATTACTGTGATTTTCACAAGCACTATGAAGACCAGCAGGATCTTCCAGTTCAATGCTCTTGCTTTCAGGTATAATCTTAGGCACAGCCTTTGTTTTGAGAACTTTCTAAATATTGTACTTACAGTAGATATGGATTCTGGTGGGGAGGTGAAGCATAATTGTTTTGACACGTGACAGTGATTCTTGGAGATGATTGGTCAATGCTGAATGCTGATTGGTTAATTTCTGTCACATGTTAAGAAAGATATGTTTCATCTCCACCACATCTATATAAATAATTTAGCAACATCATATATATCAAACAATATATCAACATAGTATTAAATCTAACCTATTAGGATCTTCAGAAAAGACCCTGTAAAGTCATCATAGAAAAGATGGACCACGACTTTGACATCCACATCCTGCTTAATGTATGGGACAACAGAGAAAATGTTGCAATATACGATTACACCCAAGTCTCCGATTTCGATGCCTTTATCCTGAAACTTCTTGTTACGACAATCAAAGAACATGGTATAGACGATCAGCTCGACATGGCCTGTAAGTGGTCGAGAGTGGACGTGGCCGAGCACATTCTGTCTGAGCAACTTGACGCTACCACAGGGGCTAAATACAGCACAGGTCTTACTAAGACACTGTTCCATGCTCTTGTGTGGGGATACTCCGACTTCTGTGGGGTTCTCATTGAAAACGGAGCTGACATTTACGACATACAGGTAGCTTCAGTTGATTATTTTCAAAAGATGCTTTTTTTTCATGATATGAAAATTCTGTCAAATTATAAAATACATGCTTATTTCTGGGGAAGCGAATACGAAAACAATTCACCAATTGGTTTGCAACAGAGGCCAATCAAACATTTAATTCAAAATAGGAATATCTCGTCTCTCCGACAAAATTGAAGTTCTTTGTGATTAAATTCCTGCCTACAATTTTAAACAAAATCCTTTTTTGCAGGCAAATATTGTGAGTCTATACGAGTCAGCGTACTTCTCCCCTCGCTGTAACCACGTGATACAACTACTAGAGAAGTACACCACATTTGACGGCAACAGAAAGATACAAAGAAGTCAAGTTAACCAACTACTTGAGAAGCTGATGGATAAGGATTTTGTGGCCTGTACAGGTTACGAGGTAGACCCCTTCTTCGAACTGACTTTATGGGCTATTCTAATGTTGAGGGATGATCTGGCAGTTTTGTTGTGGAGGTACACTCAGGACCCCGTCAGATGCTGTCTGGTTTCTCTTCTTATGCTCTACAGGTTTCTTTATCACGTTTATTTTATATTCGTTTGTTTTTTTTTCTGCAGATTTTCGTTTGGAGTGTTGTACACTCTTATCACCGCCAAATGAATGCATGTGCCCTGTATTAACAATAAATTTATCCAGGGATCGATGAGAATTTCGTAATAACATTCCCATTCCTCAGTTTCAAACACCACGTCTACCTTGAGAAGGATGACGACAGACGGAGAGTGAAGATGATGTACGATGTATTTGAGGATCTCTCCCTCTCAGTCATGAACCAGGCCTGGCTGAGCGACCCTGATATCTGTAGACGGGCAATGCTCAGCAAGTGGCAGAGAGTCAGGTCCTACAACTACTTGGATTTAGCGTTCCACGCGCACGCGCGCGCTTTCATGGCGCACCCCGCATGTCAGGAGATAATATCTATGGGATGGAGGGGACAGTTTAAAAGAGATACAAGTGTTGGCAGGGTGGTGCTTATTATTCTCCTCCCATTCCTCTGTATTACTCCACTTGTTCCATTTGATAGAAGAGTCAGTTACAGAAAGGCTGTGCAGGGACGTTACAAGGTTTGTCTTCTATAATTCCTTTATAATCCTTTGCTGATAACTCATAATGGTGCAATGTGAAGTGTAAACTTTACACTTCACTATTGTGGAAATTATATATCCAAAATCAAAAAACTATTTTCAGATGATCTACATTGATAAGCTGACTGGCCTTGCCGCTTTGTATAATAGAGTTGTGGCTTTTTACTCGGCCCCGGTTACCAAGTTCTGGATGAATCTTTTGTTTTACACCATCTTTCTCATCTTCCACTCTTACAATCTGTTGGCCAAAATGGTCTACATTTCGCCTTTTGAGATCAGTCAGCTGGCTTGGACTGAGATTGTCATCTGGATATGGTTGGTTCATTGTTTTCTCATTTATTATTCAAATCTTGGTCACGTATCAAACGTTATATTGCAAGACAACTCTTGTGGAAGTGCAGCTCTAATTTCTACTCTTATATTTCTCCTTTTCAGGTTAGCTATGGCTATAGTATCGGAGTTTCAAGACTGGTTGCAGTCTTGTTTCAGTCCTAGCACCAAACTAAAGTACCTAACGGACAGTTGGAATCGGCTGGATATTATCATCGTTGTTTTCTATGTTGTTGGGCTAATCTTCAGAATGATGTAAGTTTTAAGGGTATGGAAATGTAGTCGAGATGAAAATGAGCTTAACTTATGACTTAAGACTTTAGGAACAAGAAATCAATGAAGTAAGTTAACCACATATTTTAACCCATTAAAACCAATGTTTTCAGACCCCAATTAGCGTACTTCCAGACGGGTAGAACTATCCTAGCTGTCGCCACAATCCCCATGTTTATCAAGCTGCTCATGCTGTTTGAGTACAAACCCACACTAGGACCTATACTACTAATGTTGCGTGAAATGTGTAAAGATCTGGGAGTTTTCCTCCTTCTCCTCCTCATCTTTCTCCTTGGCTTCGGAGTGTCTTACATGGCTATACTCATCCCACCGGCTCGCTTCAGTTGGCAGAGCATGTCCGCTCTTTTTATGTATCCTTTCTTTCAAATGTTCGGCGACTTTTATCTGGAAACTTTCGAACTTGCTGAGGTACGCCACTTTTTTTGGCTTTACTATACGTACCTATTCACATGTATATGACATATTAGAAATTAAGACATGAAATTTTAATTGTTTACGAAATTCATGACAACTATGTCTGTTCCTCATGTTCTTGTCCAAAAAGACAAGATTTTCAAGCCTTAACAATAACGACCTTCAGGCCAGCACTTACATTGACAGAGAATTTGACCCGGACGACCCAAATGCAATGATAACAAAAGCCCAGGGCATAGTTTCCGTTTCTCTCGTGATCTGCTGGATCATGATATCAACTGTTGTACTTGTTAACCTGCTTATAGCCATGTTCAGTGATACTTACAGGACTATTAAGGATAATCAGGTTTGCAATTTCTAATACATTTATAATTTATACTCGTCAAATCACCTTTTCTATGTAGGGGGTGGCCATGCACATGACATTTGGAAGGCCAATTTACAGACATCTGATTGGACAGCAGGAAATTTGATTGATTGATTCTGATAAGTGTCCTAAAACAGCCTCATCCCGTCTCTTAGTCCATAATATATAGCCCATCACTTTGTGTACTACTCCTGATAAGCATTATTTGAACCCAATACCCCCTTTTCAGCTGGTTATCTGGAAGTACCAGCGCTACAAGATGTTATCTCAATACCGAGCGAGTATGATCCCACCCCCCTTCAACCTCCTCCACTACCTTCTCCACTACCTGGTGAAGTGTTGTCGCCGGATATCCAGACCTAGTGTCAGACCACACCGCGATCCTGCTCCCAACTACTGGAAGGATTGCATGATCAGGACCTTTATGCAGGTATAATAGAAGGGTATTTTAAGGTTATCATGATCTGTATCTGTTGTATTGTTTTGTCAATTCTCTGGAGGATTATAACATTGTTTTACCTGAAATTTGGCCTTCGTTATCACCTTCAGTTGTCATGGCAACGATTTAGAGTACATGTTTAGTTCCTCAATAAATTAACCTATGCAAATGATGGATTTCTAATTCTAATCTGTGATACTGACTGGTTTGTTCCCTAACAAAAACATGTTTATACTTGATCACGTGACCGTTAATACCTGATCACGTGACTGTTAATACCTGATCACGTGACTGTTAATACCTGATCACGTGACTGTTAATACCTGATCACGTGACTGTTAATACCTGATCACGTGACTGTTAATACCTGATCACGTGACTGTTAATACCTGATCACGTGACTGTTAATACCTGATCACGTGACTGTTAATACCTGATCACGTGACTGTTAATACCTGATCACGTGACTGTTAATACCTGATCACGTGACTGTTAATACCTGATCACGTGACTGTTAATACCTGATCACGTGACTGTTAATACCTGATCACGTGACTGTTAATACCTGATCACGTGACTGTTAATACCTGATCACGTGACTGTTAATACCCGATCACGTGACTGTTTATACCTGATCACGTGACTGTTAATACCTGATCACGTGACATTTAATACCTGATCACGTGACTATTAATACCTGATCACGTGACTGTTAATACCTGATCACGTGACCGTTGATACCTGATCACGTGACTGTTAAAACCTGATCACGTGACTGTTTCCAGGATGCACGTGACGAGTATCTGAGTATGACAGACAGCAAGGTAGGGGACTCCAGCAGTGATATCCTCAGGAAACTACAGACTGTTGAGCACCATCTCTCTATTATCAGACGAGTGGGCAACAAGACTAGTTCTCTTTACGCTTGAGTGGTGTCTGCTCATTCGTCAAGTTAATTTAGATAAACTGCTTTAGTTTTTAATCCGAGGTTATATTATATCAGAAACCTTAGAAATTTTTATATTTTACGTATCTCTGAAGTTTAAGCTTTTACTATTTATGTTCCTGTGTCTAGGTCTTTATGTTATGTGAATTCTGAAGTCGATTTTGTAGAATGAATTAAATATGTACAATTTTAAGTCATTTTTAGTTTATAAGGTTGTTTCGAGTAAATATCATAGTTATTTTTTAATATATTTCAACATATTAACTACTTATTTCTTCTTCTTAGAAACTGCCCATAATTCGTTTTAATTTATGGATGAACACGTTATGTAACGTGCTATAAGTAATTCTTGTGAATTATACAAAGAATAACAGATTCTACTTGAAATTTATTGAAGCGAAAAAGCAATATTACATCTTGAAATGAAAAATTATTATTATTAAACAATTGCAATAAAAAGCTCAGCAGTGAACAACAAAACAAACAAGAATTGCGCCGGTTAGCGGACGCTAGATTTCCATCAACCGTAGGCATTTTCTTTTAAAATTTTAAATAAAAATCGTTTCATGTTACAGGTCAAAATATCAAATAATTCTTCTTCTGTCTTCATTCACAATTCACCGTAACTGTTATGAAAACTTCCAGTCAGCTTGGCGCCGCGCATTTGAAAGTGTAATTCAATCGTCGAATCGTGCAAACATATGCGGGGGGTAACCGTGGCGACGACACCATTACTGCTGCGCGCGCGGAGAAGATGCATTAAAATGGCTATGCGGAGGGTAGTGCATGTTTTCCTTTGTGACACGTGACACCGTACGAAAAACCTACCTACCTACCTCTACCCATCCTCAAATCCTACCACTTCTAACCATCTTATACTTTTTTGAGAAAAAGAAATCGATGGAAAAAATTATGACTATGGAACATAGTTCGGGGCGCTTAAGTTCGGGGCGCTTAAGTTCGGGGTCGGTGACCGGGGTCGAAGTTGGGCATCAGAGTCAGGAAAGTTTAGCATCTGTTGTTCAGTATCCTGGTATTATTGTCATCTCTGTAACCTAACCTTTCTACGCGTGTATCGATTTTGAATTGGCAGTGCAACTCTAACAATGGTTTGCAGAAACATCTGTATGGAGAGAATCTTCAGTGCACTGGTCGGAAGTTTATAAATACCTCCCAAGATTAAGGTAGCGCTAATTTCGCAATCAGAAGTCGCTCCATTAAGTAAGGAACCGAACATTAGTGCACCCTTATCCTGGATTTTATTCCAGAAAAGGTAGCAAATTATCCCCAAGTCAAAGCTTATCTCCACCGAACTCGTTAGAAAACACTGCTTGAGATTTCTTTTCTGGTTGCTGCCCACGTCTTTTGTAGAGTTGTGGTAGTAGCCCACTATGTAGATGATGCAGAGTATTGCTGACCCAGCATAGCCCAGAAGGAGCAGTGTTGTTTCTATCACGGACATAATGTTGATGTGCCATCCGAAGTCATCACAGCGCCCACCTGCCTTAAGGTAAACTGCTTCAAACTGCCAAATTGTTAAGGGTACATAAATCATAACCAGCTGAACGAAAACAGCAAAACATAAGATTTTTTCCATCCTTTTTTTGTGTTCCCTGAAAACGAATGGCTTGTATAGTATGAAGCATTGAAATGAGTAAACTGTTTCTTGATAAAACTTCAGGAAAGTCATCGTTGTCTGGTGCAAACGACCTGAAAAGCTGTAAAAAGCAAGAAAAAGATCATAAAAACTAGACACAACACCTCTTAGTATTAGATTTGCAGCGATTTCCTCGCTCAGAATAAACATTCCCATTATCATGTTCATGACAGGAAAAATACATCTCACCAATCTTACCATAATTTTCGACTCCTCCTTCAATTTAAATATAAAATCAATCAAAGCTAAGATAACGAAAACTGATCCAGCTATAAGAATTGCTACTGTTTTTTGTTCAAACGATTCGCTACTCATCAGGGTACCTCTCGTGTTAGACCAGTTTCCGGCTATGCTTCGGTTATTCATTACCTCTTGAAAGCCGGGCAGATCATTTAATGTCTCGTTTAAAGATAGGTGTATAAAATTGATAGCAACATCGACGTTAAGGGTCTCATTTTTTATCTCTAAATGAGCTACGCCATTTTCCTTCAACTCTTTAGTCAAGTCCCAGGTTTTAATCACTTTTCCATCCACCTCCAAATCAACCATAAAAATGTCCGCAATATTTGTGAGAGTTTGCTGCCCCGTTTCTTCTAATTTTTCTAGCACAGTTTGAAACCAATCGATGTCACCAGTCTTCATGACGATCGGACGATTATTTCTGCCTCGACCTATAATGAATGAACATATTTTGTTCATTTTGTAAGTGTATTTTTTTCTATGTCGTTTAAGCAATAAACAATTGAGTAAATTTAATATTTCTTATGTCGCATAGAACACATTGATTGTTAGAAAGCCCAAGAGCTCAAGAGAGCGTTGCTGCTTTATCGATTTATGGAGAGAATGATGATAAATTACTAAATAAATCCAAAATAATATTGCTAGAACTACTAATTACCTTCGATTAATTAAGATGAGGTTATAAAAATGAAGTTATTTATAATAACATGAAAGGAAACAAACTATTTTCCAGTTCAAAGAATATAACAAAATCAGGAAAGTCTTACATAAGTAGTGAGTACTCCAGACTTGTGTCTCCGCCGAAGCTCTGATCGACAATTCGGCGGAGAGAGAGAGAGAGAGAGCTTGTCCTTCTCATCGAGTTTAATATTCATGTGACGGTGGGCGCAGATTTATATTTATTTATTTTCATTTGCAGTATTAGTAAGCCGACAACTGTATTGGTCAGTCTCTACCTCTGAGGAACGCTAATTACAATATTACATGTCACCCAACAAACTACTCGTCTCGCTGTCACGTGATCCCACGTGCCCGTGCCCCGACTTACAGAATAGTAATTCAGTTAATTGTAATAGTCCGCCAAAAATACTTTACATCAAACATTGAGGGTCATTTTGTCTTACAATCGTCATCCAATACATAATTCATCACTCCTATAATCTGTTGTCCATATGTATCTCATATAACTATATTTGTACGGTATAACTATTATATTATTTGTATTTTATTTAAAACTAAAATCTACATGTCCATCTCAATATGTAAATCTGCCCTCACCCTCTTATTAATTTATTATAATTATATGGTAATTAAATCATTTGTATCAACAACTATTGCATTAATGATAAGCTTCACCACGTTCAACATCCGTGGGCTCGGTGTTCAGCAAGATGACAGTCATTAGTCAACATAGTAAACGTGAGTTACTAGGATTAGAGATTAGACTGTGAAAAGTACAATGTCGACAGTTGCGCTCTGCAGGAAACTAAAGTCACCGAATCAGACAGCCTTGTTTTGCGCAACGGTTTTAACTTGTTTTTGTTCGAGCTGTTGGACAGTCGCCATGGAGGCTTGGGTTTTATAATCAGTCCTCGCATGATGAACCATATGGTTTGCTGGAGGTACATCAGTGACCGGGTATGAGCTATGTCGTTATTTGCATCCCCTCACGTAGCGGTACACCCCTACGTTGCAGGGTGATCAATGCCTACTGTCCTGTGTCCACATCAGGGCCTAGTCCGTAAGAATCGAGTTGTTTTGGACAACTTTTATGGGCTTATATTGTGTCAGAAACTTTAGAAATTTGTATATTTTACGTATCTCTGAAGTTTAAGCTTTTACTATTTATGTTCCTGTGTCTAGCTCTTTATGTTATGTGAATTCTGAAGTCGATTTTGTAGAATGAATTAAATATGCACAAATTTAAGTCATTTTTAGTTTATAAGGTTGTTCCGAGTAAATATCACAGTTATTTTTAAATATATTTCTGCATATTAACCACTTAATTTTAGTTTTGTAAGTTAATATTTTAAAAACACATAGTTTTCCACACACAATTGTTTGAATGGTGAGAACTGAGAGGTCAGCACAAAAATCACTTTTATAATTTATAGTGTAGAAATCATGCAAAATCATCTAAAATCTGCTAATGCTTGGCAATGTAACAGTAACATGTATAGAGACGTGCTTTCTGGCACGCAATTGATATACAGTTTATGTGAAAGAAGCAAGACGAACGTAGCTTGTGATGAACTGCTACATTTTAACACAATTTATCAGAAATAGTGCTGATTTCTGAATTAAAAACTAAATGATAAAACGACTTTTCAAAGTACTTGCTCTATCATGAGTGCGACTCTCGAATTTTGCAAATCTATGATCTCAATGCAAATTTAGATGCAAATTTGAAACACTAACAATTCTCTACTCTTGTAGTAGCATGTACTGTGAGATGTAGGAATGGGTAAGAGGAGCGGAGGGAGGGGCAGAATAAACCCCGCCTTGACTGAGCTTGACAAACTGGAACTGGGCTTATCTGAGGAGAATACTCGCCGACCAGATAAAGTTATCAGCAACCGCTTAGTCGCGGACGTCAGGTACTATCGGACAATTGTGTCTCACTTTACTCCTTACTTTACACTCGTTGTTGGTTCCCTGGTTCGGTACTCTGGTTGCTATGGTTACTAGAACATCATCACTAGCTAAATCAATTACCACAATGTCCCTCTTACTTGCGCTCAAACACGAAGCTAATTCTGCTTGGTAGCACACAATTTAATTGTTCAGTATAGTGTGCGCACGAGTGTTTTTATTACGCGCATCGTTGATTTAGGGTGATTTGCTCGCGTATACTCTCAAATTTCCTAAACATTTGAGATTATGACGAATTATCTTATATTATTCTCCTCAGTGCTTACAAGAAGCTACACAAATGGAAGAAGACTGCAGAAGGTCGGGGCTTAGTCGAGCAGGACGGAGCTGCAGATCCTCTACTGGAGCTTTCTTGGGGTGCTCCCAAAAACAGAAATCTAGCCCTACTTTTCTATTTCTTTAAACTAGCGGAGGTGACTATTTTTCTGCAATATACAGTTTGTATCATCATTGGTATTCGGACAACTGTATTGGTCAGTCTCTACCTCTGAGGAACGCTAATTACAATATTACATGTCATCCAACAAACTGCTCATCTCGCTGTCACGTGATCCCACGTGCCCGTGCTCCGACTTACAGAATAGTAATTCAGTTAATTGTAATAGTCCGCCAAAAATACTTTACATCAAACGTTGAAGGTCATTTTGTCTTACAATCGTCATCCAATACATAATTCATCACTCCTATAATCTGTTGTCCATATGTATCTGTATAACTATATTTGTACGGTATAACTATTAGTAAACGTGAGTTACTAGGATTAGACTGTGAAAAGTACAATGTCGACATTTTCGCTCTGCAGGAAACTAAAGTCACCGAATCAGACAGCCTTGTTTTGCGCAACGGTTTTAACTTGTTTTTGTTCGAGCTGTTGGACAGTCGCCATGGAGGCTTGGGTTTTATAATCAGTCCTCGCATGATGAACCATATGGTTTGCTGGAAGTACATCAGTGACCAGGTATGCCATGTTGTTATTTGCATCCCCTCACGTAGCGGTACCCCCCTACGTTGCAGGGTGATCAATGCCTACTGTCCAGTGTCCTGTGTCCACATCAGGGCCTAGTCCGTAAGAATCCAGTTGTTTTGGACAACTTTTATGGGCTTATATTATGTCAGAAACTTTAGAAATTTTTATATTTTACGTATCTCTGAAGTTTAAGCTTTTACTATTTATGTTCCTGTGTCTAGCTCTTTATGTTATGTGAATTCTGAAGTCGATTTTGTAGAATGAATTAAATATGCACAATTTTAAGTCATTTTTAGTTTATAAGGTTGTTCCGAGTAAATATCACAGTTATTTTTAAATATATTTCTGCATATTAACCACTTAATTTTAGTTTTGTAAGTTAACACATAGTTTTCCACACACAATTGTTTGAATGGTGAGAACTGAGAGGTCAACACAAAAATCACTTTTATAATTTATAGTGTAGAAATCATGCAAAATCCTCTAAAATCTGTTAATGCTTGGCAATGTAACAGTAACATGTATAGAGACGTGCTTTCTGGCACGCAATTGATATACAGTTTATGTGAAAGAAGCAAGACGAACGTAGCTTGTGATGAACTGCTACATTTTAACACAATTTATCAGAAATAGTGCTGATTTCTGAATTAAAAACTAAAAGATAGAACGACTTTTCAAAGTACTTGCTCTATCATGAGTGCGACTCTCGAATTTTGCAAATCTATGATCTCAATGCAAATTTAGATGCAAATTTGAAACACTAACAATTCTCTACTCTTGTAGTAGCATGTACTGTGAGATGTAGGAATGGGTAAGAGGAGCGGAGGGAGGGGCAGAATAAACCCCGCCTTGACTGAGCTTGACAAACTGGAACTGGGCTTATCTGAGGAGAATACTCGCCGACCAGATAAAGTTATCAGCAACCGCTTAGTCGCGGACGTCAGGTACTATCGGACAATTGTGTCTCACTTTACTCCTTACTCTACACTCGTTGTTGGTTCCCTGGTTCGATACTCTGGTTGCTATGGTTATTAGAACATCATCACTAGCTAAATCAATTACCACAATGTCCCTCTTACTTACGCGCAAACGCGAAGCTAATTCTGCTTGGTAGGACACAATTTAATTGTTCAGTATAGTGTGCGCACGAGTGTTTTTATTACGCGCATCGGTGATTTAGGGTGGTTTGCTCGCGTATGCTCTCAAATTTCCTAAACATTTGAGATTATGACGAATTATCTTATATTATTCTTCTCAGCGCTTACAAGAAGCTACACAAATGGAAGAAGACTGCAGAAGGTCGGGGCTTAGTCGAGCAGGACGGAGCTGCAGATCCTCTCCTCGAGCTTTCTTGGGGTGCCCCTAAAAACAGAAATTTAGCCCTACTTTTCTATTTCTTTAAACTAGCGGAGGTGAGTATTTTTCTGCAATATACAGTTTGTATCATCATTGGTATTTCCGTTAGTGTAGACTTGTTATGAATAGTGGATTGAACTCCGAACAAAATAATCTTTTATTTAGTTATAAGAAGACATTATACATCAATATACATAAATTGTACATTTCTATCCCTCAGAATCCTACCACGATAGCAAGTTTTGAGTACATAGATCAGTTGATAGCGGCTGGGGCAGATGTTAATGCTCAGGACAGGATCGGACAGACTTTATTACACGAAGTAGCCAGGGATTGGAGTGATGATGTGGCAGATTATCTTTTATCCAAGGTTATTTATAAAATCCATAATCCTTCCTTCATTCTATGTACTACGAACTCCCTCGTCACACTCTGAACTACCTCAAAATTACTTTAAATAACAGCCGTATCTCTTTCAGGGAGCTCATGTAAACATTCCAGACTGCCAAGGCAGGACTCCACTCCACATAGCCTGCAGAACAGAGAATGATAGTGTAGTAAGGTGTCTCCTAAACCACGGAGCTGCTATGGAGGCACTGACTGCGGGCGAGTTACAAACACCCCTCCACTACGCTGCTAGACACGATGCTGCTCAGGTTATAGAGGTGCTGCATGAGTTTGGGGCGGGGTTGAACCCCCGGGATTACAAGGGGAGGACCCCCCTCTTGTTAGCTGCGGAGTTGGACCGCTCCGTTGCTGCTATCCAGCTGTTGGAGGCTGGAGCCAAGGCTGGGATCATCGATAAAACTGGTAATCAAGCATTGAGAAATTATCATATTTTGATAATATCGGTTTTAAAACTTAAACCAATAATATGTAATCAAAGTTCCAATACAACCTCAGAGCTATATGATAACAATTAATGATCTTATTATTCAATCTCAGGTCTACATACACTTTGTGCCATGGTAGAGAAGATGCCGGCTGTTGCTAACAAAGCTTTGGATCAGTTCCACGTGACCAACCGAGGAAGTAGACAACAGTTCTTCTTCCTTAACTATCTTGAACCTGATCCTGACATAGACGAGGTCTCTTTTCTTAACATGTCCGTTCTCGGTGCTGTGAGTGCGATTTAATGGTTATTTTTTGGCAACTTTTTTTCTACATTCAGTTGATATAAGACACAAATTTAAGTGGTGTCGAGAGTTTGGTGCAATTATAATATTTCGTGTTATTTCTAGAATTAAAGTAGATTATTTTATCTGTTGAATTGCGATTGTAAGCGGTGACTCTGATTCAGATTGTATCAGCAAAAGAACTAAAACTAATGAACCACCCGGCTATACGGGAGATCATCAAGATAAAATGGAGGAAATTCGGGCAGTCCCGGTGTCTTATAAACCTGCTGATTTACGGAGTTTACCTAGCCTCCTGGACTTGTGTTGTCTTCATCTACCAACCTTGGAGACTGGAGCAGATGAAAAGTGGAGACAGCACCGCCACCACTGACGGGGCCAACATTGCTTCCGTGTGTGTCGCTGTTATCCTCTTCCTTTACTTGGTAAGTCTCATTGCTTCCGTGTGTGTGTCGCTGTTATCCTCTTCCTTTACTTGGTAAGTCTCATTGCTTCCGTGTGTGTCGCTTTTATCCTCTTCCTTTACTTGGTAAGTCTTATTGCTTCCGTGTGTGTCGCTGTTATCCTCTTCCTTTACTTGGTAAGTCTTATTGCTTCCGTGTGTGTCGCTGTTATCCTCTTCCTTAACTTGGTAAGTCTCATTGCTTCCGTGTGTGTCGCTGTTATCCTCTTCCTTTACTTGGTAAGTCTTATTGCTTCCGTGTGTGTCGCTGTTATCCTCTTCCTTTACTTGGTAAGTCTCATTGCTTCCGTGTGTGTCGCTGTTATCCTCTTCCTTTACTTGGTAAGTTTCATTGCTTCCGTGTGTGTCGCTGTTATCCTCTTCCTTTACTTGGTAAGTCTTATTGCTTCCGTGTGTGTCGCTGTTATCCTCTTCCTTTACTTGGTAAGTCTATATTCTTATATGATTAACGCTAGAATACAATACATTTTTCACAAATCAAATAAGTAACTTATAAACCACATTCTTTCTCAGCTGATAGAAGAGTTCAGGGATGTTTACCAGAGCGAGACTACACACAGCAGATACAAAGAATGGAGGTCAAAACAAATCGAGCGAGATTTACAATACGTACCTGATAAGTTAACCGAGGAGAAGGAGTATCTTCAAAATCAAGCTGAAGTGAGTAGAGCTGAGTGAGAGGAAATGAATTACGCACTTTTAGATGGAATTAGATGTGAAATGTTTGGTAACTGAAAAGTCAGATCACTGACTAGAGTTACTTCTTCGCAGATAGTTCGAAGTTCAATCTCGAGATACCGGCAAGATCCGTGGAACTGGTTCGATTGGCTTGGCTACGTTTCCATGTTAATCACTTCAGTCTGCGTCCTGACATGTCTGTACGGAGAAAGTCTGAAAACGGGGCATCTTGAGAGTTACAAACAGTTTGCTTTATGGACGAGCAGATTCATGTGCATTACTATCGTCCTCATCTGGTTCAAACTTTTCAAGTAAATACAATTCCCAATGGATTTCTTAGACAACATTCTTCAATCTCCACAAATATCATAAAATTATCTGTGCCCTGTGGTAAGTTTCTGTTATATATATATATATATATATATATATATAACTAAACGTACGTATTGTATATATACGTTAGAATAGCAATAACTTAAGCAGCAATAATAATAAATAAAATGTGCAGGTACGTGAGAGTGTACTCTTTTCTGGGTCCATTTGTTGTGATCCTAGTAAACACGATACACGACATAATCAAGATCTGTTTTGTGTTTGTTGTCTTCTTCGTGCCTACAGTCGCCGTGTTTTATCAGTTTTACTCTCACAAAGACGGGGAGAGTTTTGGCGGCGTCAGAGAAACCATCTTCACCGTTTTCAGGTTCGTTTATGAAATGTAACATTGTTCTATATTGTTAACTAGTAAAGTAGTAAGTATTGATAATCCTAGCACGGCCACACCACACCACACCACACCACACCACACCACACCACACCACACCACACCACACCACACCACACCACACCACACCACACCACACCACACCACACCACACCACACCACACCACACCACACCACACCACACCACACCACACCACACCACGCCACGCCACACCACACCACATCACACCACACCACACCACACCACACCACACCACACCACACCACACCACACCACACCACACCACACCACACCACACCACACCACACCACACCACACCACACCACACCACACCACACCACAGTTGGTGTGATGTGGTGTTTTTATCCATCTAATAGTACATAAATAATATATGCAGGGTGTTTCAAAAATCTTGCAAGGATGTTCTTTTTTGGATAACTTTTAATCCCTTTTATTAATATTTGTCTGATCTTCATTCTGTAAAACTTTATTGGTAGTTCTAAGGTTTAATGGTGACTTCTCAAGTTTTTACGTTACCATGACCACCATAGCAACCGCAATCAGTCCTCTAGCAACCGAGGTAAATTTAGGTCATTTTTTCTCTTATCGACCAAATGATAGACCAATATTATCTACAAATAATATTGTATTATACTAATGATCATTCAGCTTTTCTGAAGAGGCATATTCAACTCTGTTCTAAAGTCCACCCTAAAGTCTACCATAAAATCTAACCTAAAATCTACCTTAAAATCTACCCTAAAGTCTAACCTCAGTGGTCCGGCTTCTTAGAAACTGCCCATAATTCGTTTTAATTTATGGATGAACACGTTATGTAACGTGCTATAAGTAATTCGAATTGTGAATTATTCAAAGAATAACAGATTCTACTTGAAATTTATTGAAGAGAAAAAGCAATATTACATCTTGAAATGAAAAATTATTATTATTAAACAATTGCAATAAAAAGCTCAGGAGTGAACAACAAAACGAACAAGAATTGCGCCGGTTAGCGGACGCTAGATTTCCATCAACCGTAGGCATTTCCTTTTAAAATTTTAAATAAAAATAGAAATTTATTGAAGCGAAAAAGCAATATTACAATTACATCTTGAAATGAAAAACTATTATTATTAAACAATTGCAATAAAAAGCTCAGCAGTGAACAACAAAACGAAAAAATTATAACTATGGAACATATAACAAATGTTCAAGTTCGGGGCGCTTATAAGTTCGGGGTCGGTGACCGGGGTCGAAGTTGGGCATCAGAGTTACGAAAGTTTGGCATCTGTTGTTCAGTATCCTGGTATTATTGTCATATCTGTAACCTAACCTTTCTACGCGTGTATCGATTTTGAATTGGCAGTGCGACTCTAACAATGGTTTGCAGAAACATCTGTATGGAGAGAATCTTCAGTGCACTGGTAGGAAGTTTATAAATACCTCCCAAGATTAAGGTAGCGCTAATTTCGCAATCAGAAGTAACTCCATTAAGTAAGGCACCGAACATTAGTGCACCCTTATCCTGGATTCTATTCCAGAAAAGGTAGCAAAGTATCCCCAAGTCAAAGCTTATCTCCACCGAACTCGTTAGAAGACACTGCTTGAGATTCCTTCTCTGGTTGCTGCCCACGTCTTTTGTAGAGTTGTGGTAGTAGCCCACTATGTAGATGATGCAGAGTATTGCTGACCCGGCATAGCCCAGAAGGAGCAGTGTTGTTTCTATCACGGACATAATGTTGAGGTGCCATCCGAAGTCATCACAGCGCCCACCTGCCTTAAGGTAAACTGCTTAAAACTGCCAAATTGTTAAGGGTACATAAATCATAACCAGCTGAACGAAAACAGCAAAACATAAGATTTTTTCAATCCTTTTTTTGTGTTCCCTGAAAACGAATGGCTTGTATAGTATGAAGCATTGAAATGAGTAAACTGTTTCTTGATAAAACTTCAGGAAAGTCATCGTTGTCTGGTGCAAACGACCTGAAAAGCTGTAAAAAGCAAGAAAAAGATCATAAAAACCAGACACAACACCTCTTAGTATTAGATTTGCAGCGATTTCCTCGCTCAGAATAAACATTCCCATTATCATGTTCATGACAGGAAAAATACATCTCACCAATCTTACCATAATTTTCGACTTCTCCTTCAATTTAAATATAAAATCAATCAAAGCTAAGATAACGAAAACTGATCCAGCTATAAGAATTGCTACTGTTCTTTGTTTAAACGCTTTGTTACTCATCAGGATACCTCTCGTTTTAGACCAGTTTCATTTGTTTCTGTTATTCATTACCTCTTGCAAGCCGGGCAGATCATTTAATGTCTCCTCTAAAGATTTGTGTATGAAACTGATAGCAATATCGATGTTAAGGGTCTCATTTTTGATCTCTAAATGAGCTACGCCATTTTCCTTCAACTCATTAGTCAAGTCCCAGGTTTTTTTTGATATGGTAGCTTTGCGAGCGTACGAGCGTGCGAGCGTGCGTGCTTGCGAGCTTCTCTTTGAAGTTATGGGAGAAAATGTGATTTTTTTGGCTTTGCAGATAAAAAATCAAATTTTCTCCCATAACTTCAAAGGGAAGCATTTTAGGGTGTTTTGTTGTTCATAACTCATATATATAAATGTGCTAGTTGCGGTTATTTTGCGCCCTTCACAAAGTCACTAGCACATTCCTATCAAAATTTTAGAAAAATCAGTAAATATTAAAAACGAAAAATGTGCCTAAATTTGTTGTTTGGCTTTGAGGTCCAATAGATCTGAAGATAAATGAGTAAAAACATTTTTGAGGGCACCAAAAACTGCGCCAGAATTCAAAGAACAATTTAATGTCAAGTATCAAATCAATCCGTTCTTCCCTGACTGACTTTTTGTTAAAATAAGCCTGAAAAGGACAATTTTAGCTTTTTGACTTTAAAAATTTATAACACACCAGCCTTTTTAGATACGATATCAAGATTTTACACACACCTTGAAATAGATGTGAATAAACGGCGAGCAAAATTTTAATCCGATACCGCAAGAAATGATTAACTTATAGCTTCTCCATGAAACAAATTGTGTTTTTCCGAAAATTCCACTCTTAACCAGGAAATGCTCGATTACAAAAATGGGTATTCTCAAAATAATGTTTTTTGATGTGGAAACGGTGCGCTAGATAGTCACTGAACTGCCTATGAGGTCATTTGGGTTGGACGGCACTAACCATTGTTTTGGTGTATGCCCGGCCCTTAAAACCTTTGCTTACTTAATCCTAGTCCATATTCAATAGACTGGACTTGGGTTGCCCACAAGAGTATAGAATATAAATGCTTTCCCTAGATTACTTATCTCGATTTCTGGTTCGATGCAGAGATTGAAATGAGTAAAATGAGTGCCGAAACTTGATCAATTTTTGTCCTCCGTGCACCTCTTAAAATAATGTAATATTATAATTAATATATAATATATAACACAGTTCAGAACAGTCATGTGAAACAGCTTCTCCCAAGCCGTGCTTTCATTCTTTATTCTAAGCAAAACACAACCTTCTTATACCTATCTGTATAACGCTCTCAATTCAACCACTTATAGACACTAGACATTTATTCTTCAACCAAAGACTCAAATTAAGAAGTTTCTCAATATAAATTAGAATGGATAAGGGGTCGTTCACATATTCCGTAATCAGCCGAGGGGGGGGGTTTTCAAATGCTTACGGTTGATTACGGGGGGGGGGGGGGGGGGAGGGGGGGTCAAACCTTGGTTACGTAATATAGGGGGGGGGGGGGGGTTCGGTCTTGATTACGGTTGATTACGGAGGGGGGGGGGGGATGATCCAAAATTTTTCAAGCGAGCGCCAAAAAAGTAGCAGTAATCAGCTTGCTCCGTATTACTAATACTACTGTAGGTTCCCAGCCAATTCTACTCCGCCAGTCGTTTTACAAATTTAATATTTCCTTGGAAATATTGTGGTGACTTACTGAAAAGTATCACCTGGTAACACCTGGTAACACATAGTAACACCTTGTATCACCTAGTAAACCTAATCTCCTTCAGGATGTTGCTAGTGGACGACTACGGTTACGAAGAAATGACGAATTTAAAATTCGACATACCCGTTGGTGAAACTACAGTAATAGTTAAGCCAGAAGTCAGCTGGACTGACTTTCTTGTTTGTTATTGGTTGCTAGTGGGAGCAATCATTATACTGAACTTGTTTATCGGTAAGTCACAGTACACACTGTAAGTCACGGTACACACTGTAAGTCACAATATCTACTTTTGGCCCCCTGCTCCACAGCTGTGCGAATAGAAGGCAAAAATCAAGAAATCAAGAATTTAAAATAAAAGGATAAAAAACGTCCCTAATTTCCAGCTCTGATGTCTGACACGTTCCAACGAGTGTTTGATAACGCAGCGGAGGTGGCTTTACTGGAGAGAGCCACTATCATCTGCAACATCGAGAGTAGCTTACCAGACAACAGGAAACGCAAGTTTCTCAGGTGATCACATGTACTCATTTCGCTGGTCACAATCATGGTATGTCCTTTTTTCAAAATTTAGATTTTTGCATTTTAGGGACCTCACCTCAGTTAAAAATGGATGAAATTGTTGGGACATTTTTGCATAATTTGTCACATTCGTTAACAAGTAATATAGGCTGAATGATAATTTTTAATGCGGATAATCTTATAATAAAAATATGACAAAATACGATATTTAAAAGCACGATATTTTATCGTCTACACGTTTAGTTAGTCCGAGTTTTAGGCCAACATCTAAGTTCTGATATTTTTCAAGTCCTATAATTTCCGAAGCGCCTCCTCTTTCCCTTTTTAGTCCATGTACTCCAGTTTGTCGATTGCATTTTTCAGATCTTTCTTCGGGGGCATTTGCTGCCAAATCTTCCAATCCAATGTTGACTTTCATCTTTAGGATATCTTTTGTGCTGTATGCTACTCCACTGACCTTTATACCAATTGCAGTTCTTACCACCGAAAATGTTCACTCTGACTGTGGAGCCACACTCCATTTCTAGGGGAACCTTCTCAAAGAGCTTTACGGCAGATATCCGGGTCTCCTGTCCAGTGCCACTTCTACTTTTGCTGGCCTTGAACTATCCGCCCAGAATAATTATATTTCACTTATAATAGCACAGATCTGCTTGAGATTAATCTCAAACCAGATATCTTCGCTGTTTCCGCTCCATAGGGTCGACAAAGAGAAAGTCTCCACTCAGTTTTTCCAACTATTTGTTTGAAAAACTGAGTGGAGACTCTCACTTTGTCCCAAAACATCAATTATATGATCGATCCACTCAAAAGAGCGAAAACAGGATGTTAATTTGCTTTTTGAATAATTCTTTATAATTAATTTAACAACGGATTTTAGCACAAAGGAACCTTTCATTACTTTAACAGTTTAACCGTGGTCACGGTCACCACGTACGATTAATTTTCCCTGTCACAAATAGAGAAAAGGAATGATCATATCCTTCTCAACTGGAGGCAACATTTAACTATCAGTGCGGCAAAACTCTGCAGCTCAAGTGCAGCGAATATTTGCGAAACGTTCGATTATCTCAAAACTATGTTTTTTGAACATACGATGTTTGGTTATGTGACCAGGGACTTGGCATTAAAAAGAATGTTGCAGACTGTTGCAGACTTTTAGAGACTTGGTAGAGATCATAAACTTGCACTTTATCATCGCGATCACCACTAATTATTTGTGTTATCCGAATCTTTCAGTTCATATTATTAAAGTTATCTCACTCAGGTATTTGAAAGAGAAGTGTGCCCCACTAGAAGCTTACTACGATGATGATGAAGATGAGGACGAGGAAGGGGAGGTCAAAAAATTCACAGAACAGGTACTTATTACCACTTATCTTATTACGAACTTGAGACAGCATATTTAGTCTTTTAGGTTTTAACATAGGCAGCACCTACAAACACTTTTAAAGCTTTACTTTATTTTCTTGGTATGAATCTTATATAATGATGTTAATACGACACGTGACATGAACATGTCACATGATTAATGTGTAATTAGACTTCATGTCAGACGTTCGAGTTAGTAAAGACGGTACAATCTGATCTGGACGGATGGAAAGAGGAAGTTATCCACGAGATGAAGTCCCTTGTAGCAGAACAGGTGGTCACTCAGCGGGAGGAAATCAGCAAACTCCAGGAAAGTGTCCGACAACTGACTCGAGTGCTGGAGGCTCAGAGTAACTTTAAAAAGGGATTGGGTCAGGGTAGTGGTAGTAGTGGGAAGAGGAGTGGGGGAAGGAGTAGAAGTGGTCCGAGATCATCGGGGGACGGGAAAAGGTGAGCTCAGTCATTGACAAAGGTCAATGACAGGAACTGTTGACTACGTTTGATTTTATTGCAGAGTGAAATATGATATTTGTGGTTTTGGGAATGAGAAGATATGGGCAGCAGAATTGCAATAGGCATGCACCTCGGTTGTTTGTACAAACGTTTATCTGACGGACAATTTTATTTGTTTATTTAATTTCATAAGTTTTGACGCTTTTTATAGAAGTGAGCTCGCATATCTTATTTGAGAAGAGAATATCATCATTATATTTTATCAATATCATGTCTGAATTTCTAAATATAAGTTGTTTTACTTTTATTCAACTCTTAAACGAAAAGTTGACATTCGTATAAAAATGGCATTCATAATTCAGTAAGAACCAGAAGTCTTCAAATGACGAATCACAAAAAAAGGCTGGAGCTCAATTTACAAGTCCGAGTCATCAGTCTTTATTCTTTTCGCATAATGAAACCTTGTTCTTCCCTGAATGGCTTCTTTCATCCTTTGAGCCTTTTAGCGCTCTAAACTTATCTCGGTTGATTGTCTTCAGTCGCATTGGTTGAGAGGCACTATGAAACTATCAAGAGCTCCCGGAGCTCTAGACACATTGAGTGGTTGAGACCCATTGGTATCACTGTGACTGTGAGTCTGCAGGTATCACTGTGAGTCTGCGGGTATCACTGTGACTGTGAGTCTGCAGGTATCACTGTGAGTCTGTAGGTATCACTGTGAGTCTGTAGGTATCACTGTGAGTCTGTAGGTATCACTGTGAGTCTGTAGGTATCACTGTGAGTCTGTAGGTATCACTGTGAGTCTGCAGGTATCACTGTGAGTCTGTGGGTATCACTGTGAGTCTGCGGGTATCACTGTGAGTCTGCGGGTATCACTGTGAGTCTGTAGGTATCACTGTGAGTCTGCGGGTATCACTGTGAGTCTGTAGGTATCACTGTGAGTCTGCAGGTATCACTGTGAGTCTGCGGGTATCACTGTGAGTCTGCGGGTATCACTGTGAGTCTGTAGGTATCACTGTGAGTCTGCGGGTATCACTGTGACTGTGAGTCTGCAGGTATCACTGTGAGTCTGCGGGTATCACTGTGACTGTGAGTCTGCAGGTATCACTGTGAGTCTGTAGGTATCACTGTGAGTCTGTTGGTATCACTGTGAGTCTGTAGGTATCACTGTGAGTCTGTAGGTATCACTGTGAGTCTGTAGGTATCACTGTGAGTCTGCAGGTATCACTGTGAGTCTGTGGGTATCACTGTGAGTCTGCGGGTATCACTGTGAGTCTGCGGGTATCACTGTGAGTCTGTAGGTATCACTGTGAGTCTGTAGGTATCACTGTGAGTCTGCGGGTATCACTGTGAGTCTGCGGGTATCACTGTGAGTCTGTGGGTATCACTGTGAGTCTGCGGGTATCACTGTGAGTCTGCGGGTATCACTGTGAGTCTGCGGGTATCACTGTGAGTCTGCAGGTATCACTGTGAGTCTGCAGGTATCACTGTGAGTCTGTAGGTATCACTGTGAGTCTGCAGGTATCACTGTGAGTCTGCAGGTATCACTGTGAGTCTGTAGGTATCACTGTGACTCTGCGGGTATCACTGTGAGTCTGCGGGTATCACTGTGAGTCTGCGGGTATCACTGTGAGTCTGTAGGTATCACTGTGAGTCTGCGGGTATCACTGTGAGTCTGCGGGTATCACTGTGAGTCTGCAGGTATCACTGTGAGTCTGTAGGTATCACTGTGAGTCTGCGGGTATCACTGTGAGTCTGCGGGTATCACTGTGAGTCTGCGGGTATCACTGTGAGTCTGCGGGTATCACTGTGAGTCTGCGGGTATCACTGTGAGTCTGCGGGTGCTTCGGGTATGTCCATTTCTCGTTCTGCCTCGTTTATCTGAGGAGGAGTTTTGTTAATGCTGTTAGAGAATTGATCATTAAATCAGTGAATAAAAGGTATAGCTGGACAACCTTAATTGTTATTTTATGCGTATCAACCGTGTAATAAAACAAAGTACAAATAACTTCTTGCTACTTAACAAAACCTTAATTATCCAGTTTCTCCACTTCTGAGACCTCAGTCTCTGGATAACCCGAGCAGGGAGGATGGAGACGAGTCTATCCATCCTGGGCACCCTCCTGCCGTGCCCAACACTCTCCTGGCTACTGGAGCTACTGGATGAGTTGCTGTCCGAGCTGCTGATCTCGTCGTAGTCCGTGTCCTCGCTGCTGCTGAAACTCTCACTAAGGGAGGGGTTTAGTGGCTGGGGTGGCTGGTATTAATGGGTGTGTGTGATAAGCTGCTGATAAAAGTTCGATCATTTTAAGATTATTGCTTAAAGTTAAGGTGGCTTACGAGAGGGTTAATAATTGTTCAAACGATCCCTTAGAGTTATTGAAGTAAATAAAAAGTAATTTGATAAAATGCTGATCACCCCCCCCCCCCCCCCAATCACACGCATACCCACCTAAAATCAGCAGCTCTTTCCACCTTCCTAATAGTAATCTTCATGGGAAAGCCGCTGGTAGCAGCAGTGCTCATCCTCCTTGCAAACACAGAACCCCTCCGGAGAGTGTTCCTGATGCCCTTCTCGCACTTTGCCAGGAAACTGAGCTCCTGACTTTGTTCCGTGTATCTCATCCGCAGGTATCGGCATCCGTTCAGGTCTCCTACCTCATTTTCTGCTATTTTTGCCATCGACCTGATGAAACGCTCTGTTAATAACTATGACGGAACACTTTTTAAACTGTACCATCTCTTTTGCATCGCAAATCCGCTACTCTATTACTATATAGTAAGTACAACTAAAATCAATGATTTAGCAGTGCATTGTAAGTAACATTTCTCGATTAATTTCAAATAAGAAAGACAAATATGTGTACTGTGTAGCTATGCTATTGTCCGTAGTAGAACCACGGGCAATTAAATAATCACCAGCACTTTCAATTTGCACATTAGGTTGGAATTTCACTTGGATGTACGTATTAAGTACCGTATTCTATGTATATAATTGTATGTACGTATTTGATCGGTTATACGTTCTAAACTGACGTTCCATGTCGTTCAGTTAGATTTCGCAATGGCAATAGAAACATTTTATTACTTAATGAGCTCATTATACCCATATTCGGTATGATTAAATAATGGCGGAGCAGTTGGGCGGGAGCCGCTACAGCTTAACCCACAATTCTGCAGCTGGTTCCATTACGAAGCTGTTCAGATTGTTGTATTTTGTAAGATAGTGGTATTGTATTCAGTTTCATACTGACTGTATAACTACATTTACGTCAACTAAATTCATATTGAGATCGTGATGTCAAACTACTTTGAAGACTGTTGTTGTGGAGTGTGGACGGCATTGTTAGTTAGTCAGAGCTAGTACTAGGAGTCGTAAGGCAAGTGTCTGTACACACTGCAATTATAATACAGCCTCTGCTCTCCAACTAGTAAGAGCTGTACTCCTTGGTGTACATGCTGCATATTCAGCAATGCTCTTCCCGTACTCTTAGCCTTTTCCTCATTTTATTGTACATTTATAACACTTAACACATAGAGTTGACACTTGAAAGGAGCTCATTTTGTATTACTATTCGTATTGATCCGTGTAGGTTCTCAGTGTTCTGTTACAGTTTTTGTGCCATTAGTTCCACCAAACGGTGCTGTCACTTTTCAGTTGGAATGATTGCAATACCAAGTGGCGAATACTCAATACTTGAACCTTTTTTGGTGCTTTAAAGTTTAACGCACAGTTTTTCTGTATAATTTCAACACAAAATGTAATTTCGCGACAATCTAGAACATTAATATGATCGTATCCCAGCTGGAAGCTGAAGTAGGAATGTTAGAGAGAGTAAGCAAAGGAGTGTGTGGTCACCACTGCACTGTTCTACCTCTCCACCGTCAAGTGTTCCTGGTGGCCAGCAGCATCCTCTACTGTGCTGACATCCTCACTGACATCTACGTAGCACTAGACACACTCTACCGGGGGAATGATCCTGATGTGGGAGCTCTCATGCTCTTCTTTGTGATCGTGCCCCTGATATACGGTAACTACATCACCCAGAGCAACCGGTTTGGAAGAGTACGGTTCGTAAACCCTGCTAAAAATATCTTCAGTTTGGATAAAAAAAGGATCACTGGGCGACCCTTCCTGCGAACAATCGCACCGTACTGCTGGGATTCTCCCGCGCACGTGATGTTCAATATTTTGTGTTTGTTGCAGATGGGGATCTTGATAGATGTGATGGAGATGCTGATGCACAGGAATCAGGAAATACCCAATATTGGACAGAAGTACTCTCACTATTGTTACGTCCGGCGCTTAGAGGTAGGTTTCTAGATTATAAAGTTTGCAGCCAGTCTGTTTTTAAGCACAACTTCGTCATTAATAATAATTTTTTGTCAATATTTTGGGTATAAAGTTAGTTTATTTGGTGATGCATTCTCCCTCATATCAATTGTTTGATTTCAGGTGATGTTGGAAAACTGTCCTCAGCTTATCCTCCAAGTATGCGCCCTAACAAAAGACCAAGGCTGGCTAATAAGGACAATAGGAACTGTGGGAAGCATCACTTGCACCACAGAGATAAGCCACAACAGTGTTACTCCAAATGATGTCATCAGACTTGTCTCCCTCATTTTCACTGTTGTTGCTCTACCTTTAGCTCTGTGTGCTGACGAAGAGGCCGGAAGGTACTGTTCTAGACCTAGCTACGATCTAGTGAGGGAGGTCAGGGTGTTCGGGGTGATCCCTATCAATCTCCAGCTTATGTTCCTCTACCTTGGGTTCCTCCTCACCATCATTTCTAGGTTAGCTCTCGTGGCCATGTTCTATGTCTACTGTTTGAAGAATAACATTACATTGAAACCATCGTCCTCAGAAAACTTTCCGAATTTGGTGACTCCTCTATGCGTGGAGGCTCACCATATGGTAATGTTTGTGATATATCTGATCAACCAACGATTAGCAGAGACAAACAAATCACTGATAATCATTGAAAAATTGAGGCGAATAAACATGCTCGTCTCCTTTTTCTTTTTTTCATTCAGTGAGGTGTTCTTGATCTTGCTACAGTTCCCTCAACGGTACAGACGGGCCATCAGATCTCGATCCAAAGAACGTGACACCGGAGACGAGAGGTACAAGACCTTCTACCTTCTCTACACATTTAACCTGTTGGAGTTCATTGCAGTCATCATTCTGTTCTCGAAAAACAACATCTTTGACGGCACCCAAGAAGAAGCCACCTGCCCAATTCCGACTCGGCTTGCTGTGATACGAGGTGTCTTTACTCACGAT